TTTCAATGAACATTTCACTATATTATGTATACAAGAAAGTAAAGTACTGAAGTACATCACAATTTCACTTAAACCCCCAAGAGAGCAGAGATGAATCAAAGCACTGAAGCACATCCATCAGAGAATAAATGTGTTCCTTACAACCTAAAGTGATGTTCTTTACACCTGTATGAAGGCTACATGTAAGTGGGTTCTTCTTCTAGGATTTCATACTCCTCATTTTGGCATTACTGCGATGCATGCACAGAATTTACATTCTACATTAAGCCAGGGAAGATAGACCAGGAAATGTATCCTCCTAAAGCTAACTTGGTTTCCTCATATCATCGCTAAGCTCTCCTCTTTAAAACAGACTCAGAATTGAAGAACATTCTTTTATTCTTTATTTTGTATCCGTCAAATAATACTAATAATACTAAACTAGAGAATGGATTTACATATAAATACTGTAATATTTTGTAGATTTAACAAGATATCCTCAATAAATTAGAACCATTTTTATTCTACATATTTTTGTATAATTACCATTTTCACACATTTTATCTTTTAATACATATTTTATAATATTTTAACATTACACATCGAAATAGAAGATTTTATAGAGGACTTTGCTAATATAATGATCCTGCAATTGTGTTTCTTACAAAGTAAAGTAATACAGCACTTCTTTGAATACCAGACCTCCACTGCAAATTGTCTAACTTCCCCTTCCCTTTGCTTCTTGGAAATCATGTATTCTGAATCAAGTATTAGCAGATGTTTGCAAAGTAATCTCAACCATGTGCTTGGTATTGTTTCACAAACAAACATTCTTTATAGATCATTGTATTCTCGCATTTTTCAATTGGAGGGGGGGAAGGGGGAGGCATTATCCCTTTAATCCTCCCCACTTCGGATCCCATCACTGGCTGCACGATACAACTGTTCACATCTGCACTGGCTCCTCGTTGCACTTTGCACGCACTACGTACAGATTTTATATTTTAGATATAGCTCGTATTGAGTGGTGACTAGGTTCAAGGAAACAAATAAAAGATCCACACTTTTTCCGCAGCCACTCCTACAACAGGAATTACGAAGCTAACTAGAATTAAATATATCAGGCAAAAAATGTTCAACTGACTTGAGCACTAAAACACAAACAGCAACTTCATATAATTTGTTCATTTTATATAATTAACAATAAACCTCCGTATGTTCGTCACCAGATCTCAAATTGCATATGCCTAGGCTACTAATGGACAGAAATAGTATTAATAAAATTTGAAGTAACCTATGAAAACATATTTTAACAAGTCAGTCTTGTATATGTAAAATGAAATTTTTGGATACTCTTCTGAAAAAGCTGAATTACTTATGGAAGGTGCTGCCCTCAACGCCATGAGCCCCCCCCCCCCCCCCCTCTCTCAATAAATATTCCTTAACAATACCTCTTAATGATCTTTTTTTTTTTTTTTTTTTGTTTTGTTTTGCTTTTAGGCCATGGAAACAATGAGACACATCCCTCAATGGCATTGTCTCAGGTATAGACGCTTTGATCTTGTCAAGAGATGTCGAAATTACAGAGGTGGAAGACGCCATTGACATCAAATTTATGTACCCTGTTAATTCACAGGTTTGTTGACAGACTAAAATTTCAACTCGCAATCTAAAATTTGAAGTGATGAACTGAATCTTGTTTTATTTGTAGTATGACAATATTTGTTCCAGAATTCTCCTGGAGCTCTGGAGAAATGAAGTCTGATTGAAAGTGACTTACGTAATCAAAGTCAAAGAAGTAAAAGCTGCTATGAATATGAAAATCTGTGCCTAAGTTGTGGAATTAAGTTATTTTTGACAATACAACTAAACATTATTTATAGATGTACATAGAACAAAGTGCTTCATTCCCCAAACCATGCAGAAACATTCCCAGTTACTAAATATTTATTTATGTTTAATACTGATATATGTTTAATTTTTTGAAAAAACCTAATGTACTTGTTTTGTATAATATATTTTTCAATTGAGAAAAAATATAATTCTATATCTTCAAATAAATACTTCATTTTTAATTTCATTTTCATTCAGAAATAAAACATTGTACCCATAATATGATTCACTTGTTTCCAAACGAAGCAGTTGGGACTAAACTGTACCACAGATCCTCTCAGCACATATACGGGGTAAGTCAGGGTAGTGCATGTCATACAAAATTATAATTCAGAAACTTGTTTAGTTTGACATAGGAAAACTTTAATTGTTGAGTGGTTGAAAGAAGATCTTTATCTTTTCAATTTTTAATTTTCACAGAGGTGGTAAGTGGGGGCAGGACAAAAAGAAACAGAGCTAATAGTAATTAAAATCATATGCACGTCTATTATAACATTATTTTTAATCTTTATAGCACTGATTTCTTCTTGTGGGACAAACCATTGAAATTATTTGAGCAATTATGCCATGCTCCAGGTCAGGCTGGGACGGGCAATGACTAGTCACTGACAACAATTATAGGGAAGCAGACCATTAAGGGCTTCACAATGTTAAATTGTATCTTAACTATCCTGGGAGGGAATCAGGATCATCAGACCAAAGAACACGTGAAAGACCTTCAGTTCCCCATCACAATATGCTGATAAGCCTTGGTCACTTGTAAACATTTTGCTGACAATTTACATTTAAACATACAACTTTTATTGGCTATTCAAACATTGTTTACTATGGGGTGAGCACCACCCAACTCATTCGATTGAAGGGGAGTTCTTGGCTGGTTTCAAGTACATGCTCTAGGAAGTAGTAGTTGAAGATCCCCCCATAGTAAAACTAGATTAGATCGGCTGAGGTAATTCAGGGCATCAACTGATGTCTCTGCAGGGTCTATGACTAGGATTCAAGTCCCGATGGCAAGAGGAGTTTTGACACATGCTAGTTAGCTAGGTGAAACTCAGCCACTGACTGAAGGAAAATTCTAGTGGCCAATTCCTCTAACTGTACTTTTCTGTGGCTTTTCCCATCAACACCAGGCAATTGCTGGAGCAGTGGCCTAACAAACAGGCCACAGATCAAAAAAGATATTTCCATCCTCCACCTTGTCCTATCTTCACCCCTTACTAACACACTCCTACATGCAGTACACTACTACTCGTTGGGAGACAGTCAGGAGCTAGAGCTTGTCCTGGCTGGGGCGCTGCCCCACTGGTGAGAGGTACCTGGTCGGGTAAAACCTCGGAAGTCAATGTATAGGTCAGTGCTGGATCTCATCATCCAGCAGGGGAAAAAACGTTACTTCTCGCAATAAAAACCATGCACTACACATATGGGACAAACAAGTTTAACAGTTGACACACTTATAAACAATAATCAATCAATGAATCAATTGACTGGTAAGCTAATATCTAACAAAAATGTCAAATTAATATTCGCTAAATGGATATCCCCTTTCCTAATAAATAAATAAATAAATATATAGATATAGATAGATAGATAGATAGATAGATAGATATAGATATATAGATATAGGGAAAATACCTATTAGTATTAATTTCACACTATTTTCTAGCTTGTACCAACAACTGTTGTTGTGCTGCCATTTAAAAGCCTGATCTGGATAACAAAATTAAGTGTTCATAGCAGTTTGTGTACAATGGTGTTTCTGATGGGAGCCAGTCACCCTAGACATTCATAACTTCACACAGGGAATCATAAAATATTCAAAAATCATGGAGCAAGAAAATACATCAATCAAAAAGAAACAGAAAAGAATTGGCTTTATCAAAATGTAATTTTAAACAAATTGAGCTTAGTTTTGCATTGTTTTTGTTTTGCAAACAAAAATTTTTTTTACTATAACTCATAATTGAGGAGGGTTTGTGCGAAACAATGAGTGGCAAAAAGGACAGCAATGTGACAGCTTGACTCTTTACACAGTATTATCATCACAATACAGAATGTTTTCCAATAAAAAATTTGAAAATGAGAGTTTTACCCTCATAGCATTTCCTACAAACACTCTTCAACTGTGTCTTTTATTCTGCACATTAGTATTGAACCTCAGCAAGAAAGACGGATTATCTTAACTATTAAACTAGTGGTGCTACAACAGCACTTACTTTCTTGCATTAGTAATGGTTAAACAACATTACGTTACCATAATTTCTGTCCATATAAACACATCTCAGAAGGGAGAGACAGACGTTTTGTCATTAGTCAGTGTTCATTTTTCAGTATCGAGGACCCACAAAATGTGAATTGTGACGAGACATTTTAGAGGAAGTAATTTACTACAAATAGGAACACTTTACCCAACTTCGTCCTTATAAAGGCCCCACAATTAGAGTTCTTTGGTCAAAAACAGCCTTTTATTGCTGCAGTATTGCAATACCTTCTCTATTATAAATGTATGTAGTATGTGAGCAAGTCAACAAATACTTTCTTTTTTTTTTAATTTAACAAAGTATTTTGTGTAATTTGTTTTCTAACTTTAAGATAATTTTTATGTATATTAAAAAATTATATAAGCAATGAGATTGTGTCCTTTGTCATAATTTCCAATCTGACATATGACAGCGTGATACAAAAATTTCCCTACTATCTTGAACATGAAAAGATTACCCCTAGATATTAATCCTTCAATTGTTTGTTCTGGAGTGTACGCGGAAAGCAAGGTGCCCTTATCTAGTATCTAAAATGTATCAATTTTATTGAAAAAATTCCTGGGAAAGAAAACACATCTCGTTGACATTTGAAATCTATTTGTATGCACACAGAAATCTCACAAAATAACAATGAACTTTGTATCATATTGTAATCTGCCCACACTGTGTTCTGAAAAATATAACATACTTTTTCTGATTGAAGTATGTGGATATAAGGAAAGAAATGTGCCTGTGTGGCAAGTAGCATAATTTTCCATTGTTCTGTTGCAGACAACATTGGTACCACCTTGGCAATTTTACTATGAAGCCATATGGCACCAGGTGGCAGAATCACATGGAACATTATCCAGAAAACAGTAAACTTACCTCTTGCAGTGTTTCAAAGCCTGGAATACCAAGATGCTTATGTTGCTCTATCTTTGTGTCAATGACATCAGATTGACTCTGCTGTGCCAGTAAAGCAGCATATGGTGTCTTTGGCTTCAGTGATTCTGTTGGGAGAACATCAAGATTCCTGTTTTCTTCTGTATCCACATTCGAAGTAGAATGCTCCAAAGTGAATAATTCCTAAATAAAAATTACACGTAATTACATTTTATTCTTGTAGCTCAGTACATAAATAAAAATTCCAACAACGGTAAAAAGCAAGAAAAAGGAGGTACAGAACTACTACAAATTAATCTCTAAAAATAGGTTTCCAATAGTGTATGTTGAATGGTGTGATTAATTTGTAATAATAATCCTAATAATACCCTTTGGCATAACATATTCTCAAAAGAATTTGAGTTCTGGTATGTGATAATAGTAATTAGGTACATTATTCAATAAAGCATCGTTTTAATTAATTTTTTATGTTCCAACTAGTTCATGCAGGTGGTTACAGGCATTTTAATGTTGGAATTAGAGGCAGGTATTAACAGTTCTCTTTCCTTTAATACATGCTACAGACGAGAAAACCAAAGGATATTTATGTGATAGATTTCAGCTTCAGTCAGATATTCTGTCAAAACTTTGTTTGCCCTACCTTTACCTCACATGTAACAAATGCTCATCATCATTGCTTGTTTTGATTTGCTGCTGGACAGTGTGTGTTTTTTTCTCAGGGCATTGAGAATGTTACTTATCAGGGCACTTTCAAAACTAATTAATTTCTTGACTGAATATGTATCCCAAAAATGAAGCTGAAATAATGTTCTCTTCTGCTTTCGAAAGAAGTCCAACTCTGCGAGTGACCCTGAATGCAACAAAGACCGTCAACAGACCTCTTTGAGATCCTCTTCGCATCATGTCAGCGCGATGATTTCGTGCATCTGTGCATGTTCTCTTTAAATGGTTTTTCCTGTTTGATGTGCTTCTCGGATCAAGAAATTATACATTCAACAATGAATTTCTGACCAGTTGTAGTTCTTTCTTTGAATGAGAAGATTCTAAAAGTGTGTGTTATTTTTTGTTGCAAGTGATACATAATGCTTTATTAATTGCGTCAAATTAAGCTGATTTTTGTGATCAAATCAAACACAATATTAGTGAAACCTGAAACATTAGGTTTAAAAAATTTTCAGGAAAAAACATGTAGAAGTGGAGACGTTGTCTTGTATGTTTTTGAAGCATTATTGGCTAAAATATATCAACGGCTGTGCAACAAGTGGAAGAAATTTTAGCACAATTGACAGGTTACGAGTTGATAGTGTCAGTGAGAGGGGACATCAAAAATGTAAGTACTCTGATATTCAGCACATTATATACTTGCTTGATATTTTGGATATCCTATTGAACAACTACTAGTGAAAATAGTATGCTATGTCAAACCATGCTTGCAGTTGAGTAAGATTGTGGTGCAAAAGACTTGGCCAAGCATGAACTAAAAGACTGACAGATACATACAAAGTTTGTTAACATACAGAATAAAGTAAGAGCGAACAGACCTGAAGAATACTTTTGAGATTATTTTTTAGAGTTAATATAGCACCAAACAGGCATTCTTAGGCTTCAGTAGTGAAATAGGTATCTTCAAGCACTATTAATCTTTTTTAATATTATAAATCACAAACTGTATTCAAAATTACTTTCAAGCGTATATGTCAGAAGAATAAAATAGCCTCACTTATAACATAATGTAATAACATGACTAAAAATCCTTATTCCAATCATAAGAAAACATATCAAAATCAGTTGTTTCCGGGCTTGAAGGCCGTGGTCCAATGGAGACTTGTCCATACGTTTCGCCTGTAGCTGTGGCAGGCATCCTCAGTGGCGTTGCTGGCGGGGGCGAAGTGTCCTTGTTGGCAGCGCCGCGTTGACTGACGCTCCCGCGGCTCTGGGGCCAGTATTCATAGTGAAAGGCGAGGTTCGCGCGCTCGCGTCTGAGCGCGCGAACCTCGCCTTTCACTATGAATACTGGCCCCAGAGCCGCAAAACGTATGGACAAGTCTCCATTGGACCACGGCCTTCAAGCCCGGAAACAACTGATTTTGATATGGAAACCGGCCGTGAAAGCCTACATTGTATCATAAGAAAACAGATTTTCTTCTTCCAAATATACAAATAATTAATATAAATAATCTCCTAAGAAACTTCCTACTGTTTGTAAAAGATCACCACCTTTAATTACCTATATGTACAAATAACAGAATTCCACAAAGCTTCTCCTACTTCCACCATTACAATTTTTCTTTCAGATTTATGATTATGTCAACTTTGATTCAATGACCTATTTCTAACACCGATGCTGCAAGTAATTCCACAAGGAATTTGTAGTAGATAAAACACACTCACAGCAGGTTTTAACAGGATTCTCCAATTTCAACCATTTGCTCCATAATCATCTTTCTCAATCACCACCATTGTCATGATACAAAAAATTAGGTGGGTACACATTGTCTTTCTCCAAACTGACCTGCTCAGACCGGTCTAATTTTTAAAATGGTCCTCTCTGCTTCATCAGTATTTATTAAAAAAAGCTTCAATTTATTTCACTAATTACTTCAATTAATTCATGGAAACCAGTATGAATGGAGCTTAGCATGATATCAAATATTACATGGTAAAATTAATTTCCTTGGAAATCTCAACAGATCTATTACAATAAAGTTGGTTGTTCGAACCAAAACTCAAATACAAGCTGTGAGTGATGAGTAGAAAGAAAGAGGATATAAAGAAAGTGTAAATGGGAAAGAGAAACAAAATAGAATTAGTGAATGTATCAATGGATTACTACGATTTGTATATTTAATCAGATTTCTGGTATTTTATGAACACTCACCTGCTTTGAATTAAAAAAGTGAAGTTGAGATGTAGATTGCCACGATATATTTGAATTTCTCTGACGGGCATGAGGTACAAACACACCATTAACAATCTGACTATCTTCACAAGATATCAGACCATTCTGCTTGAAGATAGGATCCGGACAGTTGGGAGAAAATATCACAACTGAAATCAAACATTCTTATTGCCAACAATGAAAGTTTACACTTCATTTTCTGACAAAACAATCTCATATTAAACCCAAAACTTACAGTCATTTTCATCACTGAATGCAGCCACTACTTCAGATATTGGATCTGATACCAGGACAGAAAGATTAAAATGTACTACCCACAAGAGGGAAACGGAGAGAAGATTCCACACAGCTATTCCAAGTTTACTGCCTGTAACGACTAGATGAACACAGCTCCTTCGTCCAAATTCTACATGACTGAAGAAATTGTCATTAAAAACATATGAAATTGAAACATACCTACATATCAATAATTCTTGAAGAAAACAACATACCTAAGATGTTCTTCTGCATCTGGTCGAGTAAGACTGCATTTTAACTGGTTTGAACCAGGAACCCACACAGTCAATGTTGGACCAAAGGCTATTGCCATCAGTGAACCATCAGATGAAAAGCTAAGATCTCCTATTGGTATATTACGGTAAAATCCAACATTTTCACTATTCCACACAAGACCTTTTCCTAACAAACACATCTCTCCATAAGTATAATTTACATTACACAATTAAAGAAATTTACATCTCATAAAACATCTATTTTTGTTTTAAAGTAATTTAACAAATTCACAACAGACTGAACCACTCATAAATATTCCAAATAGTGAAGTTTCACCAAACTTACTGTAGATGCTGGTGCTTTCTTGAAGAGACCATGTCCGAAATTTAAAATCTTCACCAGCTGTCACACACATTAAATTTTCATTATTAGCAGAAGGGCGAAATTGTATAGCTTTTACAGCACCTCTATGTGGATTTTCAACACAAGTATTCAGGACATATCTGAAAATGATTTTTGATTGATAAATTAGGGGAAATTAACTAAACTTTATATTGAGATGAAATACAATAGGAGTGAGATTTTGGATGAGCCAAAAATAACAATAGTCAAATAATAATAATCAAAATAGCGAATAGCATTGCAAAATATCAACAGTCAGCTAAGCAAGAATTGCACACTTTTCATCCTCATGTGATTTTATGTTGAAAAGAAATTTGTGTTATCTTTCCTTATCTCACCTTACAACAGGGCATAGAGCCACAACTGCAGACCACATGTAACAACAGGTCTAGGCCCACATGACTTCCCTAGCCCCAAAAGTTACCCTAAGTGCCACAAACCATTTTCAGAATTGCCATTCGTGGTTGTATTCACCTTAGACACCCCTAAACCCATGGAGTGATAACGCCGGGGTGTGCATTGGGCAATGTGGCAGCCAAGGAAGTAAAGTACTTCTGGATCAAATTGCCGAGGCTCTAGTGAGGAGGAACACCTGTGTCCTTCTAAGAGTTCTTATCTCGCACCGTGTGCAAAAGTTTATTTTCATCGAATGAGACTGAAACATTTTCTCTCCTCAGGAAAGCATTTATCTGAGAGAATACACACTTTCATCTTCCTGCGATGAGACATTATTAAAATGTCAATAATATGTATTAGCCTGCTCAGGAGAAAGTTCCCCCGAGACCCACGCTACAGGCAGTTCCAGCGAGAGACATGCCAGAGGCCCACGCCCCACTACAAGAAGCCGAGCCAAAGAACATGATGTCAGCAATGAGCTTGACCACTGCTGAGGGAGCAGTGGATGAATGGTGACATGATGTGGTAAGCAGCCATCGTCATCGAACATGATTACCCCACCTAGTCTTCCTAGTATGTTTCTCATCTCTTTCCTTCCCCCCTCTGACTCTCCCACATAATGCGGTAAATAAATATTATTTGAACCCGTAGACTTTTGGTTCATCACGACTTCTTTCTCTGCCCATCTCAATGCATAATACAACACTCAATAAACAACCACAGTATTCCCATAACCCTTCCTGCGTCTCCCTTGGAATTTGCTAAAACCGATCCGCTTCTGGAGGGGTATGGAGGGCATACTACATTTCCGTAACTTTAGAAGTTTATTCACTTTGTGCTCTAGTTATTGAGTTTTGTCTAGCAATCCTCATTGAATCCAGGTTGTTTCTTGTCAGCAACTTGTTAATTTTGATCATAGAATGAGGCTCACAATGTATGTGTTAGTGCAAACAATGCTGCTCGCAGAATCCTAATGCTTGAAACACCACAGGGACCATGAGGAGTGTCATAGCTGAAGGTTAAAAGGGCTTCATGGCTTCCACAACCGCATAAAGGAGACCCATCCTTTTGAGCCAAGCAATCACCCATCATCATTCAGATAAAATATCATATTCCTCAATAAAGAGAGGGTCCAATGAATTCCATTAAATTAGAGAGCATTTTCACGTGGGAGTGAACAGACCTGGAGATTGAGAGAAAAGAAGGAAGGTAGAACAATCTCACAATAGGTACCTAAGATAGCATTTGGGATTTGAAAAAACCTATGTCTGCCTGTCTGGAGAGAATAGAGACAAACAGAGGGACAATGAGAAATAAAGCTGGAAATAGAGTAATGCGGTAAAGAGGTTTTGCAATTTTATTGCAACAGTGAATAGTAAGAATTTGTTAAAAATTTGACAAAAACGAGCCTTCTTCAAAATTACATGTTACATTTATCTTGTAATGAGGTAAAAACTGCAGAAGATACTTTAAAATCTGGAATAGAGCTGATAAGAGCCAACTGTATAGCACTACATCAACAATCCTAAAGTAGTGGTGTACAAAACAAGGAGGAAAACAAGTTCATTTCATGAACAAATTACAAAAAAAAGTTAAGAACAATTTACATACTTACTTCTGACTGACTTTGTTATACTCCCAAAACTTAAGCCTCAACTCTTGGGGAACTTTCTCTTCGCCTTCACAAAATTCAACAGAAGCTAACCAACTACCATCTGAGTTGAAAGCAAATTTCACTACATCAGTGTTTTGAATTTTTTTGGAGCGTTCTTGAGTCAGATAATTGCGGCCAACAACATCAAGCTGGAAAACAAGAAAAGAGTATGCATAAAAATTCGTAAAATAGCATTCTCTCACAAGAGTTTTTTCTAGAAGATCTACAAGAGACCTAACAATACAATGAAAATTGCAATTAATCCTTCATTGAGCGTGAAAGGAAAGCGGTCATGCACACAGTAGTTTCTCCAAGTCTTATAATTTTAATAATTTCACAGAAATTCTTCATGCATCCACTACGAGTTTATTATTAAAATTAATTATACTATTTTGCTTGTCTATTTATTCTTCACCACTTTCCTTAAACTCTCGTTATGGATGAATTCTCCATTCATCAAATGCAGATACCCATTGTTGACACTGCACACATTTTTATAACATGTATTTTTATTTATATTCGCTTGGCCCTCTAATGACCCAGCACAGTAGTTTAGGCATGAAGCATACAATTTCAATATGATGATTACTGAAGCAAATAATTTTGTTAGAGGCTACAAAATTCATCTTTAAACAAATTAAACATAAAAATGCATTTCTTCTAAATAATACCATCTTGCAACTTATAAGACAGAAAATAGTAAAACCCATAAAAGTAATGTAAAATGTGTGCTCATGGACACAAGTCTCATGACACTCATCTGACCAAAGGATTTAAAAACTGGAAATAAATCTTTTGTTTTTAGTAATAAAGTAACAATAATCATTAAACTGACCAAAAACAACAAATTTCTTTGATCCACTGAAAAAAACTGCAAGTGCCCAACACGACCATTTGTTACCAAAGCTTTTGTACGAGGGTCAGTGGTCATTTCTACTGGTAACAAATACTTCCCATCAGAAGGAAGTGATGACCAGCAAAAACACTGTATAGAGTTTATACATTGTAAGGATGAATTGACCAACTGAATTCCTGAAACAAATCAAATGAAAATCATTAATACAATAATACATCTCAATCAGTAAAAAATGAATACAATAATAAAATAATAAATAGAATAATAATAATAATAATAATAATAATAATAATAATAACAACAACAACAACAATAACAACAACAACAATAACAACAACAACAAAATATACAACTCATTTCCAGTTTCACAAACTTTCGAGACATACCATTATCTCTTGTTGAAACAGAAATGCACAAATTTTTGGGAGACACTGACAAATGACCAATTTCAGAAGAAAGTCTTGGTAAAAATTTCCTTCCGGTGGTCGCATCCAATAACCATCTCACCAAAACACACTCTCCGCCCCCACTATAGAAATAGCTTCCTAGGAGATAGAAAGTAATATTCTCGTTATCAAAATTAGGATAATGAGAGGACATATAAATAACAATCATAGACAGCAGAACTCTAACTTAACTTACCTGAATCAGAAAATACAACGCTTTGAACAGGTAATGTGTGCCAATGATATGAAGAATATACTGGTTTTCTCAGCAAATTCTTCCAAACTCTTACACAACCAATAATATCTCCTGTAATAACACATAGTTCAGTTGGATGACATGCAACACATGTCATCTTATTCTGAGAAAACACTTGCCTAGAAGAACAAAAATAACACATTTATTACTTCTAGAAAATATAACAAAATATTACTTTTCAATATTTATAATTACACATTCAATAAAAAAATAAAAGGGAGTCTTACGTTTCTTTAGTTTCAGACCCATTGTATGAAACACAAAATGTTAAAGTTGTTTTGGGCTTATTGCAATATCCAGCCAGCAATATCTCTCCATCAGTCTGTCTTACTGCTAAACTCCTATTGTGGTTGTCAACTCTGAAACAGGATTATGAACATTACAAGCACGAAAAGGAAAAAAAAATTGAAACAGAGAAAATAATTTTAACAATTTGAATATTTTATTGTTTGAAACGATGATTTCTTTATCTGCTTTAAAAGTCTCTTATATATAATAAAATAAAGAAATGATTAGAATAAACAATGAGTTCCATGCACGCTTCTCTGAAATGCCCTTTTATTTATTACATTGGAGGTAGTGAAAAGTAAATAATTTATATTTGTCCAAATAAAAAGAACAATAAATCTACTGCCTGAACCAAAAAAGAAAAGGAATAATCACTGGATACAGCCGAATATACCAAGGTCCAGGTCTTGGTGTAACAACTCAGAACAATTTGACAGTGGCAAGGTGTTTGGTCATCAATAGATTCACCAATGACACAACAAAATTATAAAAATAACATTTTCATTAATTTAGAAAAAAATTTAATGTTACGGGAACCATCTTCAGGCAACACTTTTAATGATAACAGTAAAACTAGTCATGCTGAAACAGCACACAGCTTCTCGTGCCTTAGTAACAATTATGTAATAATATTATACCGCAATTTCGTTTATATCAATACATCTCAGTCAATGAGCGCTGCCAACACAGCATACATGCAGCGATGGATGCTGCCAACAATGGACACTTTTTTCTTATCAATTCTTACTAAAAGCACCATTTTTCCCACAAATGCATCTGTTTTTCAGTTTGCATTGTAGTGGTTTTAAGAAAGTTCTTCTAAGACGTTCTTTGTGGATCACTATTGCTTGTTTCGAATACATACAATTATTTTTCGCCATGTCTCCAAGATATTTTTAGTTCATTCTTAAATGTTTCATTTTCTTTCAATCGAAGACTAACAACGCAACAAACATTTAATTTTGTCGCTAATTTACATAAAAATTCACATATTTTCAAAAATTTGATCATGATCTTATTTGAAAATCTATTTTTGATAAACACATTTCATTAAGAAAAAAGTGTATGTTCACAATTGTAGTTGTAGGAAGACGCTGAATTTTTTTAAATTTATTTTTTGCAAAATCACACATTTTAATGAACAAGAGACCTGCGCCATTCTCTAAAGCGTCCTTTATGCTATTCAAGTTCCCAATTTAATAAAAAAACATTGAACATTTTTTAAGAAAAAGTGGTTAAAGAAAAATAAAAATTGCCCATGTTTGACACAAAATTTTACAAACAATACCCATGTTTTTGAAAAATTGTACGTGATCTTATTTAAAGATCTGTTACTGATGAACACATTTCACTATGGGGAAAATTGTACCTTCATAATTGTAGTTGTAGGAAGTCACTTAAAAAATTAAGAAATTTTTCAATTTTCAAAAAGCCAGTTGTTTTTTTTACTAAAATGAGACCAATGGTCTTCAGACTATCCACCAAAAAAAACTCAGTAAAACAATGGAGCCACTTTTGAGAAAAAATTGTTTAAACAAAAATTAAAAATTTCTATATTTCACGCAAAATACTCTATTTTTTTTAATTGTACATGATGTTATTTCAAAATTTGTAAGGAAATCTAAAAGGAAAGTATAAATGTATAAGTAACAGATTTTATGAAGGGGAAAAACCTCTATCTTTAATATTTTTGTTGGAAATATCTTTAATATTATCTTTATATAATATTATCTTTATATAATATTATCTTTAATATTTTTGCTGAAAAGAATTTTTAATTTTTTCAATTTTTGAAAAATCAGAGTTTTCAACCAACATAAGACCTGCGTCATTTTTTTAAATCTCCTTCAGACCATCCATAACAAAATTTAATCAAAATCAATGGCGCCATTTTTTCACTGCCATCGCTTCATGTAAAGTACATCCAAAGTTAAATATCAATTACAAATTCAAGGGGCCAGATCAAATAGAGAATATCAATTTTGGAGAATATTGTCAGAACGGTTTAGCCACTAGCTTTGTTCACAGATGGACAGACACGTTTTGACGTCAATCGACTTTTTGGTATCAAAACATGGATTCTGGCTACACACACATGTTACAGGATTATTTTTTCTATATTTAACAACTTGATTTATTAACTTTTTAGTTACCAAGGCCCTATGATATTTCTTTTTTGCTGAAAATTTGCTGTTTTTTCACACAGCATTACATAACTTTCACTTAAAAAGTTTCTTCTTAATCACGAGAAAGTGAAAAACCTCTGCGGAATGTCACACAACAATGAGGAGCTCGCAAAGGATTCGCCAATATTAGCACATTGAATTAAGAGCTTGCTACCACTCACAATGACACATCCAGTCACTTCGTGTCGTATTCCTTTGCAAGGCGATGAGCTTTCCAGTCATCACTGTTTTTGTAGAATCTTCACTGTTCCTGACCATACATGATGAAACCTGTCACTACAATGTAGTATGAACATGTGAGGGAAATAGTGTATTGTATTCGTGTGCACCCTGATTCAGTGCTTTTACTGGGTTTTGTAGAGAGTTTTTGGTTGTTATGCACTGTGAAGGAAAATGAAGATATTGTAGTTTAGCTGAAACACAAAAGTATGTAGCTCACTTACATTACAAGAGAAGCTTTGAGTGATTGAAAATTTTTAATTTTGATTGTGAAATGAAGACTGTTTCTGTGAACTTGTTTTCTAACTTGAGTACAAATATATTTGAATTACTGGCATTTAAAAAAAAATGAACCGGTCATTTTTAATATAATTGCAACTTTTTAAGACAAATCTCCATGACAATTGGTAAAGTTTTTGAAAGTAGGAAATAATGATTGTATAAAAGAAATTGTCTGTTAATATACAAGATACAACCCAGTCGACTCTAGGACCATTTCAAGTTATCTGATTGGGAAAGGTGGCTCAGGGCATCAACAGATGCCATTGCAGTGCCTCTGACCGAGAGGTCTTAGGTTTGAGTCCCGACCGTGGCAGAATTTCTGACACTAGCTTGGTTGAGTACAGTCATTGTCTGGAAAAGAATTTTAGCGGCCAGTTGCTCTGATCAACAGTTCTCCGTGGTTTCTCCGATCAACTTGAGCAGTGCCCTGCTGGTGGGAGAGAACTGGTTGCGGAAATCCCGCTAACTGACAGAAGGTCAGCGCCAGGTCGGCGCCCATCCAGAGGGGAAGATCATTGCCACCTCCCAAGAAAAAAACACAAACTATGCTGAACAGGATCTTCGCTGTTTACATGTTCAGAATCTCAATCAACTGAATTGTCTGCATGGAAAGGATATGCTTTCTTGCAGAATAATCAATAATCATAATGAATGATAATAGATTAAGAAACAAATCTTTAAAAAATATTATTTCTTTTCACGTTTATTTGACTGCATGTATTTCAGTTTTGCCGTCTTCCCAAGATAACTAAAGCATTTTTATATTGTCTTAAGGGTGTCCAAGAGATTTTTTTAATGAAAAAATATCTTAGCGAGTCTAGTTTACTAAGCAAATGAGCTTGGTTTTAAGCATTTAAAAAACAGAACACACTATGACTCCCTCTGTCTGTCATTTCAGAAAGATAGATCTAGCAATGACCATGCAAAAAAAAGCCTCACCTCACCACTGCAAATTGATTTACTAAATAGAACTGTGTAAGTTTAATACCATTTATTAAAATACAGTGCAACAACACGCATCGAAATATATTTAATGAACCACAATAAATTTAAGTAGATTGGAAATTACTCTTTACATCCTAAAAATTCGACCAGAGGAGGGGTTCTGATTATTTAATCTTTCTTTTTTTTTTTGATTAGGAAGGGGCTTACAGTAATAGTGCTAGTTCACAAGTCTCAGTTTTAAAGCTATAATAATTAAGGGCAGTATTCTTCTGAATTTCAATATACACAGAGGTCAATAGCATATTTTTCTCGAAATGCACTATATTAGATCTAACACCTGTTCCTCTTTGTACAGTAGGCCTGGCGGTTTATACCTCCTCGAATGGCTGTTCTCTCCATTGCTTTTTTTTTTTCTTACAAGTTTTTTTAGTGCACATAACACAAGAACACCATAAGTGTTCACTATTTTATTCCCTCTGTTCATTTAAATACCTAAAACATGAAACCTGTTCATGGTGGTACCTAAGACAGAAATCTGTCCATGCTGTAAAATATTTTCTGACCCAAGGAAAACCGTGTCTATTGACATGATACTTCAGAAAGAAAATGGAAACCCTCTGTCTCTGCTTTTTACCCATTGCTTACTGTCCAAAATGGAAAAGTATGCTAGTTCTAGACAAGGAATTCCCAAGGGGATTGGCAACCACCCCCTGCGGGTTGATGACATAAAGATGGGAGTCAATGATTATCAAGGAGTTGATTGAGGGTCTGAAACAGCGATTGATAGGTATAATCAAAATAAAATAAAAAATTAACTCGATAATTAATTGTTTTCTGTATAGAGCCACAAAACATGTAATAATAAATTAGAAAGTCCCTCCACTTCTTTCCTATCCAACTTTCATTCTTATGATAAGATGGCAAGGCATAGCTATAATAAGATGATGCAACTGATGCCCGCACAAGTCCTTCAAAGAAAAATGCCCTTATTAAGAGCCCCTGCGGAAGGATATTGGCAAAGAATAAAACAAAATATCCATGAACAAATGAACAAACACTCTATGCTTATTTCCTCCATTTCACCATCCATATTTTTATACAAATTACATTTTAAAACTCTTAATTTCACATTTATTGCAGGTAGGGGTCCCATTTCAACATTCTGCACAGGGGCATCTCTGATACTAGCTACTTCGGATGTTTAGAATACTCAACAAATCATAGCTATGTATTCACGATACTCTATTCTAGAAGAAAATACTTAATCCAAAACGGACTGGAGATATGTTACGGTCAATTAAAAGACTCAACTTTTTGTAACTATTGCATAACAACAAATACTAGAAATACAGCTACTCAGAAGTAAGAGTCTTCAAATTTTGAAAATCTAAAAATTTACCAAAATTGTGGTCCAAAAATGGTATTTTTTGAGACATTTCTGTACAATTCTTTGTGTTATGATTATAAAAACTGTATATTACAGAGAATAAGTAATTGGTCGATAGAGCAAACAATTCTTTTAAAAGGAGTCTATGAAAGGAAAAGGTTGGGAATCCCTACCAGAGACCTTGCTTGATGACACTGACATCAGGGTTAAAAATATATTTTCATATCATGTAGTTGGTTCAACAGAACTTGTCACTAGTGACCACCAGCAAGAGAAGGACTGTGATGGTGGACATGAGGAGTAGGAAGCGGGTGACACATCCACAAACATTAAATTTTGCGATGCTTTGAGGAGTACAAGGCTTCCAAAAACTTTTGCCGCCAATAAAAAGTTCACCAAATTTCTTGAACTATAGAGTAAAATGAAAAGAATGCTTGAAGAGAAGAGCAGTTCAGTACAATACAAAGCAGTTGGGACTTGACACACATATGGAACTTAATGGCAAAAAATAATGATGTGGTGTAAAGCATTGAATTATAATACATTTATTTACTTTTTTAAGGCATTAAATTGTAATAAAAGAAATAAAGTGAGAATGTAAAGCATTGTATTGCGATCCATTTAAATATAGGATGCAAAGATTTCTATACAGTACAAAAAGTGTTCAATGGACTACACCTGAATAAGAAAGTGAAGAAATTGGAGCCCTGCTGATTCTGTATCTAACAGGTTTTACTGTACAAGAGGGATGAGAAAAATAGTCACTGGTTTCACTACAACTACACATTTTTAATTTTAAATATAATATATATATATATATATATATATATATATAAAATAATAGTAAAGTTACATGTTATACGTATATTATATCACTTTAAATTTAAATATACAAAATTAGAAGTTAAAGAATTGTGAACAAATTGTAATAACTCAAACCTTATTTTTCCAAAGAGATTTCTCTCTTTGCCTGAAACTGAACAAAATGTCTTGACACATGCTTGATTCTGCCCTGAAACTGCAGCAACACACACGACACATGGAGTCTCCTCGTCTTGTTGTTGCACAAGGGAGAAACTTTGTACAACAAATTTCCCAGTAATTTCACCCAATTGCTAAAAAAAAAAGAGCAAAAAAGCATTACAAAATTATTTCAATAATTAATCATTATGCACCATAGGACAAACAGCCCTACGCCCATTTCTTGATCAAGAATTATGATTAAATTCAAAACAATTCTTATCTTAAGGAAGCCATTAAAAATTTGACTTTTTTCCTCACTTTCTTTTGTTTTCCCCCCCTTACTATTACTTTTAGGCTTAGGATTAATGATGCTGCCAAAAAGATTTTTCAAATAAGATGTCTCCATAAAAACAAGAAAAAAAATAGCAAACCGACTAAATTGCTATAAAATTGTGGTGTTATTGGAATATTTCGCAAATTTTGTAATTTTCACGGCACACAATTGAGTTTCACAGTTTCAGTGAGTTTGGAGTTAGATATACATTGCTATTGAATTTGCGAAATTCAACAAGGCAAGCAGGCTTTTCTAAATTGATTTTGTTTGGTGGTTCTCTTGATTTTTTATGGTGGATCTGAACAAAAAATACAATAATAACACTTCATTCTTGATGACAGTCTCTTTCAATTTATTAGATTGGTTTGTGGCCCTTTTAAATAAACTACAATTATCATAGAGGAACCTTTTAGTAAAACATTTTTGGCAAACAAACTATTGGAGATCTAAGATACAAACATAAAAATATAAAAGTACTGTAGACATACTTCATAAAGATTATCATAGAATTATGTAACCGGAAATAAATAGATTGTTGACTGTACACAAAAAGAAAAACTTCTGGGAAAACAGTAGGCGATTCACATCAATACACACACTGTTGAGTTCCTATAACACTGTGGGCCTAAACAACTATAAGAAAAATAAGAGGAACTGAATTGGATTCCTCCATGGGATGTGGCAAGAATTTCAAATAGAATTTCACCTTCGAGCTCCTTCAAGGATTCCCTAAAATTGGTTTGCAGTCCCCTCGATGTCTGCACACCCCAGTTTAAAAACCTACTACTGATAATAAAGGAAATAAAAAAACTCAAGTTTAATATCAAATAATCACATCTCCACATTTGAGCATCAAGTTAAGACTGTGTCCATACTTTGCAATAATACGGGGGAGGGAGGGTTTCTATTGGAATTGTTAAATTTCCTCAATTTACATTAAAGAGTTTCGAATTGGATATTCTGTTTGAGGTTGGTTTGTATGGTTATCTCATTAAAATTTTTATTTCCTACACATTATTCATTTTTGTATCATTCAGAAGGAAGTTAGAAGTACGTTGATGATTGGCATGGAAGTTGTGCAACTGTCTAATCTGTGTTTAAACTATTTAGTAAAACTAATTTTTCAAGGAAAGTTATTGTGACAATTTGTAGACAGTTGTGTTGACAATGCTTATTAGAGCTCTTACTTTTTGTTCTTTAAATAAAATTTTTGTATAATCAGCAAATAGTACTGTTTTGTTGTTTCCAATTAAATATGTCAAATCATTAACAAATATAATAAACGATTTTTGTTCTATTTCAATATCAATTTGATAGTGTAACTCAGTTTGGCAGATAGGATTTGACCCGTAACCGAGCAAGGACTCGAATACCATAATATTTTTTAAATAGCAACATCTAAAGGTCACCTACATTAAAGGCTGTTCATACTCAAAAAGAGTTTGAAAAGTACATATTTTTGTTAAAGGGTAACAATTTTGTTTAAGAAGGCAAATAAGATATTTAAGTTGATCCTTTTTGTTCAAACAATTTTGTGAATCTGTTATTTGGTTCCTGACCATCTACTGAAACATACAAGGTGTGAAGAAATATCAAGAAAGATATCACACTTACTCAACAAAACTGTCATCTAACAAAACAGTTTCTTATTTTGACTCATTGCACTTCACTATAAACAAACAAAAAAGTCCAATAAATTCACTCACACTCTTTCTAACACAAGATCCTCTAGATGAACATTCCCACTCAATAAACTCCCCAACACAAGACACAGCCACAAGTTTATCAGGATGTGTGGGGTGTAACGCTACCCCGGCTGCATCTTTTGATAAACCATTGTACACAGTCACCAGTTCACCGGTCTCAACGTTATACGAACGGATACAATTTCCGTGTACAACAAACAGATTTCTGGAACAAAGAACCGCGTAAGAGAAGCAAGCACTTCATTTTCTATTCCCAAGATTTTGTGACAACATACTTTCCATTGCTGGAAAATATAGCAGGGTGTTCCACTATAGATCCACCTGCTATCTTCACAACATTCAGATTTCCATACTTTTCGTTCATATTACCAAATCCTTCACTTAGCTTTTGAATAACCATGATGAAAGTTCCATAAAATACTTGGGCAAGCAATTCGCATTTCACAAAACACCCTAAAATAACACAAAAATGGCAGGCACAACACCACCACGTGCATTAGGACACCATTGTCACTAATTGACTGAATATTGGTAGCAATGATTTGTGGTATTCTGCCAACGTAATTGCCGACCCAAGAAATCAAACCAACGAAAAATGATGTCATATTTCACGAAGAAATAAAATTGTTCAAATTATTGTCACTCGTTCGGGTTGCTTATATTTCTTTTCATTTTATGTGAAAGCAATTAATTATATTTTTTCTTTACTCAAAGGGAATATTTTTTAAAATACTTTACTATGGTTGGCATCAAAGGAATGAAGAAACATATGATACGTGCTCGGGTAAAGGCGTGAGGTTAGGAATGATGTTTGAATGGTGAGAAGTGTTAAAGGTATTTGTGGTAATAGAAAATCACTTCGTGTACGTAATGTGTTAAAGCACGCATTACGATAATCCTGTTGTGCAGTATTGCCACTGGTAGTAATTGTTCATTGCTGTTTGTTGGTTTGTGTTTCGTTTGTCCTAAAGAATCCATGCAATGGCTGTAGCTCAGTTAGAAATACGCTTTATTACTAAACAACAGCAGTAAGTATTGCTCGTGTGTTCAAAACACATACTATTTTACCTGCGTTTCTGCCGAATGCTTAATGACCATATTCATCAAAGAAGTTGAAAGTACAATAACCTCTCTTGTCGTGTTCCATGTGCTTAATAGGTATGCTGTACCTGACACTCCGTTTTCTGTGGCTGCACATATTTCATGCATAGAGCTGAATTCTTTATTGAATGAGTTATTAAAAGGTAAAATTCATTTCTTCCTTCTTGTGAATTTGTTTATAAATCATGATGAAACATACTTTCTGTTTTGCATTACAGAAAGCAGACTTGATGGCAAATGGCAATCAGTAGAATTTGATTTTCTGGTTCTCAATGAATTCCTCAGAGTTCCTCTGTTGGAACATTTGGAGGAGCGTTCTATACCCAGTGAAGGAACTATTGATGTGGAATATGTAGAACGTCATCCTGCTCCTGAACCACAAGATTGTCTTTTGCATGATGATTGGGTATCAGCCGTACAAGTGAAAGATAAATGGTATGTGTTACTGGAATGTCTTAATACTAAGTAAGGCATGTATTTGAATATGTTTATGATAACTGTTTATACTTTTAGACGAGTACTGGCGAATACCATTTGTAAGCAAGAATTTAAATTATAGTATGGTATACTTTGTGTCCTGGTTATTCTGTAATAATAGATGCATGGTTTGTAGTGTTGGATCTCTCGGTTCATGCAATGTTGGTCCTATTTTACCTAAAAAATCCTGTCAAAATAATGCAGGAGTAATAACGGTGTTTTATGAATCGGAAGCAGTTAGTGAATATCTGTATGAGTATGTAGTCTGTGAGGACCCTGCCATTGTTCCCTGCTTTTATAGGAATCACTTTTATTGGAACTCGAAAGAAACTGTTCCATATGTTATCTCTGACAGGCAAAACTGTAATACATATAAGGAATATGTCAAATTTTAAATGGTAACTGGTAAAAGAGAAGCAAAGCCATGCACATCATCTTCATTAAGTCCCAACCTTTCAAATTTTGGTCATGATATGTTGTGTGATTATATGGAACACAACTATAAGCCCTTTTGTTTTCAACCTCGCCGTTTTGGAACAAAGCTTTGGCATATTTGTGAAAACTGCATGTAGCAATTACATAATTGATTAGTGGATCACAATATTTCTTTGGCAAACGGTTTCAGTGAAGGAGGAAGAAGAAGAAAAAAAGGAGGGGTAGGGTCTGCAAATTTTTTTATTTGTCTCGCTCAAGAGTATTGAAATGGGCCTATCTTGAATGCAACTCTGTGACTGTTTTGGAAACAAGTTCTGTTAAGCTAAATGGATTTTTGGGTGAATAAGACCTGAACCATTAAAAGAGAAATAGAAGGGGGAAAAAAACTTAAATTTTTCTTTCAAACCATTGTAGAATTTTTTAAAAATATTTTGTTTGGCTAAGTCTAGTATACGATACAACTTACGAAAGTTGTTTAAACTGGCTCTTTGCGCCTCTCTGGTGGTAATTGCATAATTTTAATTCCGGAGGCTTTCTTGAAAAGTGAATTGGTAACTATGTAGTGGATAGACTCAAGGATGTTTATAGTGAATGCGAGGGCCGAAGGCCCAAGCCTCACCTTGACTTGGCTCCGTGCGAGAGAAGCAAGAAAACGTGCCTTTGAAAGTCAATTGGCAATATTACGAGGTTGTGTATGAAGGGAGAGCCATGAAAATCATATATCGTAAGTTTTATTCATTTCTATCGGAGCGCATATCATAATTTGAGGGACGACTTAAGGAGACTCACCAACACCCGCCAGCACTCTTCTCTGAGGATGTACTGTGTACCGTACTTTAACTTAAGATAAAATAAGATAAAATATTTATAAAATAAGATAAAATTTTATAAGATAAAATAAACATTAAAAAAATTTAATTTTGTTTTTATTCACTATCACTTACCTGTGTCAATCTGTGGATTTTGACTATCTTCCTCAGAAACCATGATCAAGTTACCTGAATTGTGAAAATAGTTGCATACATCTATCCTCAATAGAGAAGGACAATTGTTAAACTAAAAATTTACACATTGTTATTTAAGGGTAATTTCTTGCAGGATTTTAACTGGATGTTACGATAACACCCTCCATTTATGGTCAACGAAAGGGAAACACAGTCTCACAATACCAGGTCATTCCGGACCAATTAAATCAGTTGCTTGGGTTGCAAGTGATGGCCAAGTTGCAACATTTGTGAGGCGAGTTTAATCAATTTATTTTGTAATTCACATTTTTCTATCACTGCTCTTATTTTCATATATTGTTCTTTAACAGTGCTTCTCATGATCAAACTGCTATGCTTTGGGAATGGAATATTACCAGCAATGCTGTTGAGTGTGTACATGTATGTAGGGGTCATGAGCGAGGACTGGAGTGCGTAGGTGTTAGTCCTAATGGTCATTTAATGGCAACTGGTAGTTGGGACACACTCCTGAAAATTTGGTCTGCAGGCAAGTTCAATTTGACTATTCAAATTTTGATGTATGATACTTTTAATTTCAGAAGTTTTTATAGAATTTCTTAATGTCTTAATTCTTTAATAGCCATACATGAATCATCCAGTGAAGAGCAAGACGAAACCTCAGCAAAGAGGATAAAAATGGAACATGGAAAATCACAAGTTCGTGTAAGTATTTGTGAAGTTGCTGACAACTCGTTTCCAACTCTATTTACAAGTGCTACTTAACTCATTACTCTGATGTAAGAGTGATATTTCATATTAATCTTACCAGAATTAAGATATATTGTTCTCATTTAAGTCATTATTAAGAGTTCCAAATTAAATAATTTTTTATATTGGTTCTTAAAAGAATATGCTTTAAAAACATTGAACTGGCATGTTGTTTGCTTACTAGGCTTCCTGTAAATAAGAATAACCTTTTCTGTCTTTACAGACACCATTGCTGACAGTGAAAGGACACAAAGAAGCTGTATCTGCTGCAATTTGGACTGATGTGAATGAGATCTGCACAGCATCATGGGATCACACCTTGAGATTATGGGATGCTGAACTTGGTGGCCTCAAACATGAAATTGTAGGCAACAAATCTTTTTTTGACGCTGATTGGTCACCACTTAATAGAACAGTTGTAACTGCTTCAGCTGATCGACATGTTCGTCTCTACGATCCCAGATCACGAGGTAATGTAGCAGCACAGGGAGGTCCCTGAAAGCTTGACTTTTCATGCAACAAGCATGTAAACCAAGAAAATAAAACAAGTAATTTTTGCTTTTTAAATAGAATATAAGTTTTTAAGTGTATCGTTTGTGTCACCATAAAAGCAAAGATACCCTATGTAGAAGGACCATACCCCTCCCAAATAATGTTCATTATAAAATGATGTATGCATGGAATAATTGTAATTAATTGTTTTGAAGGAACACTTTAAGTAAATTTGAAAATAATTTTATTAAGAATATAATGTAAATCATTTTCCAAGAAGCTTAAAAGAAACTGAACTTTTCAAAATGATAGATAGCACTATTTTTGAAGTGCGTGCTTCCAAGGAAAATTAATTAGTAAAATTTCTCAGAAAGAAGCTTTTGAAAGAGTTAAGTAATATATTAATAGCCTAATTGAATCAGGAGTACCAGCAAAAATTATTAGAAGAGTTCAATTAACATTGAATATTAACATTAACCAAAGTCAGTGTACAAATTAATAAAGAGTATCCTCAACATTGTGAAATAAACTTTCATATCTTTCATATTGAAGGAGATCTCCCTTTTGGTGCTTCTTTTCAGTGTTGCGATATGTTGTTGTGTTCAGATATAGCTAATGTTCAAGGTAATACATCCAAAAGAAAGAAGTAGCTTTGTGCATTCAGTGATGATGTAATAATTCTGGCAAGATTGGTGCAGGCATTGGCCTTGGCCTTCCATCTGCCTAAATATAAATGCTTCTATTACAAATTACATAAAATGCTCCAGAAGAAAATCCAAGAAATTAGCGAATTATTCTAGATGATCTTGAAATCAAAAATCTGCTTTCATTTAAAAGTCGTAGCACAGCGTCAACGTTAAAAGCTCAATACAAGAAAAAATAAAAGGCAAATTATTGCTGGTAATAAGGTATTGTACACACATAAAAACTTTTTTTACCAGCAAGCTTCTTTCAAGATATTCAACATTGAAATTATACAATACTGTTAAAAAAACTGTTGTGATGTGTGTGTGCAATTGATAGGATTTCAGAAACATTACTAAAATTAGGCAAATTTGAAAGAACAAACTTTCAGATATTCTTTCTCCTGAGAGACTTGAAAATAATATCTGGATGAAATAAATGATAATAAATGGATAAATGAAAGTAAAAAACAAAATGAATGTAGGATAAAATACCCAAATATTGCCAAAGAAATGAAATCCAGGAGGATCATCTGCATTGGACTACTAGAAAGGATGCGCCACTTAAAATCACCAAGAAAATATGAGAATGGAAACTAATGGTTACAAGGTGCAATGGCAGACCAAAAATGAAATGGAAAAATGTGGAAGATCTATGCAAGATGAAAATCATGAAGTAGGAGTGACAGAAGATTGTTGAGCATATTTCAGTTTTTGTTTTTAATTGAATGTTGGACTTAGTATTTTCTTCTGAAATGAACATCAAGAGAAGCTTCTAAAGGATATTTTATTATTTATAGATATCAATTAATCTCTGTGTCTGTTGTTTAAATGTGATTTCATGGTTGGCATTGGACTAGTGCAGTTAGCGAATCTTACCAATTTAATAAGAATGTTCAAAAACTTGAAAAAGGATGAAAATATTTGTCTGAGCAAAAATGTATGTGCAGTTGAACCTGGATAAGGGAGAGTTGAAGGGATCTCTTTAGCTTACGGAGGTTTTTGGTAACCAAGTTGTTTGCCTATTCAGGTACAGGAGTGGCTTTTCTCACTTAAGAAGTTTAAAAAATACAGCTAATATGTAGTAATATATATGAATGTTTTTACTGTATAGGTATCACTTCTTAGAATTTGAGATGTATACTTACAAAAAGAAAACTAAAAATCTTGCACCAATATTTACTGAAAGAAATTCATTAATTTTTTCTGTGTTTCTGTTTTTGCATCTCGTAATTGTGTTTTCCTTTTGTAAATCTTATCAATATTCAAGTAACTGGTGGAGTGTTTCCACTGCAATTAAAGCTTCTTGTTTCTTTGAAATGTTCAGATATTTCTTTTTTTTTATTTTATGAAAGGTGAATTATGGTAAATCAACTCTTTCTGTATTTCCTTTCAGAATTTCTCGCTCTCGAACACATTCACTATTTTAAGTTTATAACTTGATTTAACTCTTTGATTTTTCATTTTAACATTTTGAGTGTGCTGACCCTTCCATCACAATTGATACTTGTCAACTGTAGTAAGTTTGACAGTAGGTCAGTGCACTTGCTCATTTGGGCATTTGAATACAATACAATATAATATAATATAAAAACAATGTTAGTTCTCTTACGCAGGTTTCCGTTTCCCACTAATTGATGTTTTAGAAGGTTAAAATAATGTGACTTCGCAATTACTCTTACTTGTAGAGTTTTCTCACTTATGCGTTTCTCATTCACCCAGTTTTTACTGTTATGAAGAAGTGTGATATCGAATGTTTAAATATTTGCCATCTTTTTTTCCCCCTTTGTATGTATGAAGTCTTTCTTGTTTTTTAATTTTTTTTAATGTGTAAACATTGTTTTTAACATACTAAAGCAAAGTTTCCTTTGAAAAATCTCTCTATTAAAACTTGTAGGTTAAGTTGCATATATTGTAGATTTATAAATAAAAATTACGTATTTTAATACTGAGGTGTTTAATGTTGTAAATATATATCCTGCATTGTATATTTGATTCATTTAATATTCAGTCTACTTAAAAATATTTTTTTAGTTTTAAATACTTTAGAAATGCTATCTTAATAGATTTCATTTTGTACACTATACATACTTCTGTTAACTGATATATCATCCAATATAAATATTGTATAATTTACTGATATTACTTGATGAAATTCTTGGTGCAGTTAAATTCAACACACATTTATTCATTCATTTAATTTATTAATGCTAATTTCTTCATTCTGCAGAAGGATCGCTTGTAAAAAGTACTTTCACATCACATACTCAGTGGGTTCAGTCTGTACGATGGTCCACTACTGAAGAAAATTTGTTTATATCCGCTTCCTATGACCAGCAAGTAAAACTCTGGGATTCCAGAAGGTACATATATCATTTATTATTTGGCAGCATTCATTCACTTTGTTGTTATATATTTTATTATAAATAATTACAATTACTCTTGCAGTCCTAAGGCTCCACTCTATGATTTGAGTGGCCATGAAGATAAAGTTCTTTGTTGTGATTGGTCCAAGCCAGAACTAATGGTGTCTGGTGGTGCTGATAATACTTTGCGAATCTTCAAAGCCAAAACCTCGAGCAATAAGTAAAATTAAGTATGAAGAACTGTTGACCATTGTAATCAGTGACTTCTATCTCTTAATCTAATTTGAAATGGCATTTGTAACATTACTTCCAGGTGCTCAATACTTTTTAGCACATCTCTGAGCAAAGTAATAATATTGTTTAAAAAAAGCATTTAGTTTTTCTTTAGATAATGAAATATTATTCTTAAACACAAGATATTTTTGAGAATATGCAAGTCATGTTACAGAAGCCTATCAATGTGTGTCACATTCTGGAATTCAGTAGAGGTATTCATTCCATCTCTCAAAGCTCAATAATAATCTTCATACAGTTGCAGTAGTAAATGTTGCATTTGTCACTTTTCAATATTCATTCTGATAAACATCTAAACTACTGTATATCTTTGTCTGGAATAAACATCTCGTGTATCAATTTTTTCACCATTCAACCTGTAGCTTCCAGGATGTAATGAAATGCACCAAGTCTGTCTTAGGTTCAGCACTTCGATTTAATAAAAGGAAAATGGAAATGTGTAGAATTCTGTTAATGTTTCATGCAAGTCAGCGAAGTTGAATTTCAAATAAATTAAAGAATGTATCTGTTTTGTTAAGAACTTGTATTGTTAATAAATTTCCCATTTACAATCCTTTATCTATACATGAAACTCATATTATATCACTAGAGCATAACCACTCATGCATAATATACTGTGATATTTGTTATTTATTTTATTAGAAAAAATGAGTGTAATATTCTTAACATCAAGAGTTTCATACTTCCATACTTCACAAAATAATTCAAGTGTTGATTTAAATATCGAGAGTTATTAACAGATTAAAGTGGATTCTATAAGGTTTCTTAATTGTTCAATACATTAATATTGCATTTATTTTAATTGTAAGTTGTTATATATCTTGCAGTTGGACTCTCCTTGATATTGTTTAAGCTTTCTGAAACCAGATAAAACTACTAGTATATGAAAATAAATTTGACAAACGACACCTTTTCAAAAATATTTGCAGAAAAACAAGTGGATGTTAGTGTTAATAAATTATATTAATTTATAGATTAATTTCATAACAAGTTATGAAATTAGCTAGCAAAATCATGGTTTTTGTTTTACACCCCCTCCCCCCTAAGATTTGGTTTTGTTAATTTACCATTACTTAACGTACTTCAGCTAGAGCAGTTAAAAACTGTACTCTTAAGACAAAGTTTGTTAATTTATCATATTTTTCTTGTAATTTCTTGAGTGGGTGTGAAACCTGTGAAATCTTTGTAAAGATTCGATTAACGTTTATTTACTATTATGAACCAAGGGCCCTTTAATTTCTGTTTTTCACAATATCTTGACGATGATTTTTCATTCAATGAGAAACATTTCAACCTGTCTTTAATATAAGATTAGTTTGGAGAATACTGCATGGGAATAAATGTAGAAACAATATGAGATTGCTGTTTCATTTCAGATAAAGTGTAATCTCTTTTTCTAATCAAATAAGAATAGAGCATTTTCAAAACAGTAATAGAAATTAGGAGGGAAAAAGGAAGTTTCTCTAATACATTTTATGAATTGGGAATACTGGAATGTTTGTAATAATATTATGTACATAGAAGCACCTTCATTTTTTTTTTCTTTTACTATCTTGTATATAACTATTGTGAAAGTATAGTAATGCTGCAAGAAACTGGTGGAAGAAAAAAAAAAAAAAGAAAGTACCTTTAAAAAAGTCTGATCAACACTGTGGGGGTGGGGGAATATTCCCTGATCAATTTGTCCTCAAGGTCCTTCGGATTTGAAACTGTTCTTAATTTCAGTGAGTACTTTTCATAAGACCCTCTCAACCGTTTCGCTCAAAAATTTCTCCAGTGATTTGCTTCAACAGAGGAAAGTGCACTTTTAAAAATGCTATAAAACTCATTGATTTTCATTAATACTTCTGAATTTTGAGAAATTGGAATGGTTCAAAAGTTTTTCATTAACAAGTATCTATTCCTTTTTTAATGTCATAGAGTATGGGTGTGAGTGACTAAAGTGAGCATATTTTTTCTCTCATTTTGGAGTTAATTTTTATCAACAAAACAAATTGTTACATATTTTGCAGTCAGATGAAAGTTGAAGAATTTATAAAGGAGGTGGCTCTTTCGATTTCATCATAAATGTATCAATCAAACCACTTGAAAAGGTAATTTCTTATTTCAACTAACTGTGTTGTATAGAGAATCATTTGTGTGCATCACTTTTTAGAAAAACATGTTAAAAAGTGTTCTAAAGGACTAAAGTGATGGTAAACATAAAAAAAAGCAATACAGAATGACAACACAGTTATTCCCAACATAGATCTTTATTGATCGGAAGAGGGGAACCATCTTTGCAACAAAACAAGTTGCATTTTTTGCAGAATTTTTGTTTGCTTAAGCCAAACCGACAAATGACTTCACAAACCTTTTTTTTTTAATTTTATTTTACATTGCATTCAGCATTTCTTGACCACTCACACTAATAAACCAATCATTCCTATGTAACTTATAAGCATAATGAACAGAGTTTCTTGTTACTCTTGATAAAATATATAAATCTATACACTGAGACAGCAACATTTACCAATATTAAAATAAACCTACCAGAACTAGGCATAATTTATCACTCAACAAATACTAAACCAACCTTGATGTTTTATGAAAATACTTTTCTTGGAAATGAAACAAGCACCTATCTTGTTAGCACATTGTATTATTAATTTCTTTAACAATTGAATTCTACCAGCACAATATACAACCAACAAACGGCTAAAATCCACTGATTTTAAACAAATACATAAATTGGCCCCTCCAAGATGTACGTCTAGGTTTATGTTTGGTTAAAATGTCATCTTAAAATTATATGAAATAAATGTCAGTCTATCATTGAATCAAAATGTGCGGTACTCCATTCCTCTGACTATTCATTCTTACTACTACTGGATCACTCTTCCACATTTTGATTGTTTTCCTGATCTTGTATCTAGATCAATGTTCTATGATTTTACGGATTCAGTCTCATTCAACAAAGTATACTACTGCTAAACCATTAGGAATAAAAACGCAATAAAAAAACAATACTAAAAGAAGAATAATTTGTAGTGTTTTTCTTTCCCAAATGCCAACAGCACCAAATTAAGAAACTAGTAATACAATGCTACATCGAGTAAGTGTTTGCTGACAGTGTAATAAAAACCTGCAGTGTGATAGATTCAAGCATGTTATTGGACTGAACTACAATATATACAGAGGTGGAAATCATGGTTCATGTGTTCATAAAATACCTTACACGGTACAGAAACATCTACAGCTGAGCAACGGGTTATTGTCCATCTGCATTGTGTATAGGCTTACTTAAAAACATAGGTCTCAAACCACTTTACAAGCTAGGCTTATATTTTCATAGGCCTATTAAAACTTAAAAGCAAGCACTTTCAATCCATACCACCATTAACTTTGCTTGTTTTTATCACACCACGAAGAATTTCTCCAAGAGCCTACCATGTATTTTATGTTCATCTCACTAAGTCTCAGATCTAAAGGTGAAAATGACTTGATATATCTATATATACTTTTTTTCCTCATCTATTCTAAAATAATTTAATGATATAATAACAAAAATCTAAAGGGTCAATTTTTAAAGGAAAAAAATCTTTGGATTGGTGAATCATTAAGTGGGTAACTCTTGAAACATAAAAATATTGGAAGAATTCAACATTTCAACATGTTTCTTTCTCCTGCCAATACTCTGAAAAATCTACATTTTCTAAGTGATTATGGTTCTTATTTCCTAACTTTCAAGAATTCAGAACACAAAAGTTCATATGATGTAAAACCTGGGAATTATATTGCACATAACTGACTGAAGATGGGATGCAGTAAAAATAAACTGAATGTTTATTCATGGCATGGAGAAATCGACTCCATGATAATTTAGTTCATTAGCAAAAACAAATTTCCAATATAAGTTGTTCTAAATGTCAGCAAAAGTTACACGAAGCCGTTATCTGACATAATAAGAAAAAATTGAAGACAAATGCAATACTAAAAACCCAACATCCCCTTGCAGAAAAAACCATACCTCAAGATGGTAGGTCATCTTCATCTTCTTAAATCTAACAAAGAAGGAAGTGCATGTACATGGCAACGACAGCTAGAATTAAACAGAGAAAGCTGAGCTACATCTGAGCAACAGCTGTGAGGCACAAGATGCATATACAAAGAGTCACTTGCATATAACACTACACTAGGACAGATAAAAGTTGTACCTCGCCTATACTACACGCATTTCCTTCAGGTGTACCTTACAATAAAATTACTACTTGAGCATAGCAGAATGAAATGGTTTTATCTTTTGCAATGGATACATCCTTTGTTCTGCAAAAGAAAAACAGCACCTTCCTGTTTCACTATGTCATACACAAATGACCCTTACTTTTAACACTTTCCACATCCTGTAAAAACTTGCTGTTCATAGCAAGAACATCATGGTGCTAAAAAGAATAATCAACAAGAAACTCTCTTCACTAAACCATACTGCATTTCATTGGCCACAAGTTGCAAAAGGAATACCACTAATAAGGCTCAATGCTCACAGGTAGCATTTTCCTTTCATGCAAATTATGGTTCATGATAGCCAGATCAGGCATTCGATATGTTACAATTATTTTAAAAATAACTATTTAACAAATAAAGAGGAAAAAAACATGGAAAAGAAAAAGAGTTGATGTCACAGCATCAAAACAAGTTTTTAAATACCTTCTGTAACACTTTCCTAAAGTCTTGACTGCCATTCACACAATGTGCCCCCACACGCACCAAAAACACTGTTCAAAGTCTAGAATAAAACAAAACAGTGATTAAGAAAAGAAATCCACTATCCTAGAGGCAGAGTCTTGAAATTTTCTTTCATTTCTCCCACTGTCTTCTTGCACTAGCATCAGTTTCCTTGTTCTTCAATATGCTTGCCACATATGCACATGGAAAAGAAAACTGCCACACAATATGTTCCATTTTGATACACTAATTCCCTGTAAGCTTGTGATACATCCATTTCTTCCACTACTAAATAGCTTTCCTATATGTTATGGGAAGACGTGGAATGCAGACAGTTACTTGTTCCACCAAATCACGGCAAGCCAAAACTCCTTAACCGTAAAAAATGTCTGTAATTTAGTTTTAAAAATGAAAAACAAACTATGGATTCAATCTAGTTTGATTTCATTCAAAAAAGCTAACTACTTTGAGGCTGAAACATAGTGTTGCAGGAAATATTTACAAGGAACTTTAAAGTTCAATTTCAGGATTTAAATTCTTATCTATTAAAAAAAGTATACAGTACTGCCATCTATATAACACATCTCACTCCAACACAAATCCTATGCTTTCTTTAAATTCTTAAACTTTATATGCATTCCAACTGCTGAACGTACTTGCATATAACATGCCTAGACCAATATCTGCATGAGAGAAAATAATCTACCACTACAAAACACTTCACATTTTTGATATAAGAAAAAACTTTTTTCACAAAAAAGTTGTGTAACAAAATAAACTTTCTTTTATATTCGTATTTTTATATCTTGCTAATTTTCATACCCTTAGCTTACTACATATATCAGGCATACCATTTGAATATTTTTAAGTCTTGAGAAACATTCAGCAAGAGGGTGATGCCCAGGAAAAAAAGCCAGCAACATACAAAAGAGAAGCCACTTCTTAACAGTGCCGATAGCTATCTAAGCACCAAAACATTTCTACAAACAGGGCCTACGAACTTCAAAATTAAACTGTACATTCAATAATTCATTTGTAGGATAACTAACCGAATGTTGCACATACACGAATTGTATTATACAGTTAAAAAGACTACAGAAGTGGCTTCTTTGATGTATGCACAAAATACTATTTTACATTAAAAGACTAGGATATCTCGAAGGGACAGGTAAGTCAGAAGGTGTCTGAGAGAAGAAAAATAACTAAGGGCACTTAAACTGTCCAATGCCCAGGGCTTCATCAGCTACAGAACTGGCCACAACGTTCTCATTCTTAAATGTATCATTAACTTGCATAAACTTGCAAGCAAAAGGTATTTTGTAAAAAAAAAATTGCATGCAAGTTCACTTCCTCTTCTATGGCTCAGCCTCCTTAGTAATGAAATAATAATAAAAAAACTTACAAACTATCTTAGATAAAAACTACTTAACTACATTTTGAAATGTCCCAAACTCTACATGAAGTTTTTCTTTCAACTTGTATTTTAACATCTAAGAACTACAGTCTAATGTTTTAACTGTATCTTTCACACAAAACATTAAACCGACACATTTTGACAAACACGACAGATATTTTGTTTTGTTTTACTGACACAAAGGACTTAACTTGTATAATACAAAATAGAGGAGAGGGAAAACAAACTTGCACAAATTTTTTCATATAACAACAAATTCATGAATCATAACTTATGCATCATGAACACCAATTAAAAACATAATTTTTTGCTGAAATTTCTACAAAAATCACCTCTCAAAAACAATAACCCTAATTATTTCTAGCTAAGCTATAAATTTACTTCTACTTCTATACAAAGCATCTTCATTCAACTTTCAATCAAACAGATCACATTAACAGTACAATTAGTCTACAAGTAATAGTTACTTTAACTACAACTATCCTAGAAGCTAGTTGTTTGCACCAAATGCAACTTGGCGCTGCTGTACTTAAAAGCTCCTAAAAAGCAAGTATTCATTTTTTTTCTGTAACTTCAAGAGAAACTCTTCTGATTTCAAAGACTGCCAGATAAGTCCTTCATTCCATTTCAGTAACGTTCTGGTAATATAAAGTTCATTATAACAATAAATCCAAACGGATTTATTGTACATTTACACGAGAACTGCAGGTCATCTTTGACTAACAAATTACAAAGTCTTTTTAATGTATATGTAGTCAAAATCTAAAAGGACTGAAAAAAATCACTTCTTTTACTCTTTTTCAAATCCTTTTACAACAGCAACTGTCTTTTGCTTGACACACGCACGTTTAACGACACACACATTTTAAATATATTAATATGGACTCAGTTGTCAATTAATGTGTTCTTTAAAAAATAGTTACGCTTTCACCATCAAATTCAGATGTACCAAAATAAACTAAATATATTTTTGTTCACTTCAGATTTCAACAGTGTAAAATCTTATTTAATTACAATAATACAATGCATGATCTACAGACCTCTTAGCTCCTATTTAAACACGATGGTTCAAAAAATCACTTTACAAAAGGCTGTAGGATAGGGTTACAAGACGTTGGGGTATGGTTGCAACTTGTGTAACTACCATGCTGCCAAGCAAACCAAAAGTGTGAAAACACACTAGTACCACCACCATCACATAACAGAATCCTACATATTGAGTTAATAAAGACCAAATAATCTTACTTTATCTCTAAACAAAACATAATAGAAAAATAAATCAAGGGGACGCTCATTTCTTACAAGATTCAGTGCTAATCACAGCTGACTTCACAATTTCCTATTTCAGACTGACTTTGTAATTAATGCACTCCCAATGACCTATTACTGACAATTTACAAAATATTTATAACATTCTTCTCCAATTAATACTAATATTTCTTTGAAATGTTTTTAAATTATATGGGAAAACAAGTGAAAAAATAAAACAAATAAGGCTATAACAATAAAACTGTTCAAATGAAAACAACAGCAAAGGAAGAGCAATTTGCCTGCAGAAACACAATGATACTAACAGATTATATTAATTCGGAAATATCAGATTTTATCAAAAACTTCATTCTATGTGATCAAAACGATCTTCAATCTCAATCACTATTATAATCTAAAATATATTGATTCGGTCATTTTTGATAAAGAACTAGGCTCAACTCTAACACAAATTAATGTACAATAGTTTGCAAACATCTACGACAAAAAACATTAGTAACTAGAAGATAATTTGGCTTCACAGGTAGTTTTAATCTTATATATTAGTTACTTCCCTGTCTTGAATCATCATGAAAAGGCACAATATCTAAAAAAATTGTTAAAAAATTAATCAAGTTGAATAAAGATCTTTCACGTCAATGGTAACAGGTGTGATGAGAAATGAATTTGTTCATGTTGAATGAGAAAACATAGTTCTAAGAAGACACATTAAAAATGTTTTCAAATGAAACACTATCTAATTTGAATACACAGCGAAGTATTTGTCAATTGGAATGTGAAAGTACTGATATGGATTTCCTCCCATATCACTTATGTAGTAACCGCCATAAATGAATAATCCAGCATTGGTAATTTTATCCACAGTCAAACATACAGATTTTATATTTTCATTAGTAAATGAAATTTTGGATGAAATATTAAAACACTGCATATATTTCATTAAAAATGTCAGGTAAATATCATAACATAATTCCCTTGCTTTATTTTGAATATTTAATATTCATTCTAACCCTAAATATTTTTCAAAAAACACTGTATAAAAATTCCCATGAGGCAACAATGGAAAGAGATTTACCTGTCTTATTTGAGTCTTTGGTAACTGACTGTTACCCTATACAATCATACAGTGTAGGCTACTAATAAAACATTTCGCACTGCAGAACCATTCTGTATTGACTTTCGTTCATATTAGTGAAAATAAATACACATATATATCACACCCAAATTATTCATCAAGTAACTTTTATGTAAACACTGAAACAGTAACTGGACTGAGGCACTGGTGTATATGTGTGTAAATAGTTACAAACATTGTTGACAATCTGTTTGGTATAACTATACTCTAACATGATGTCTTCTGTCAAGGAACACAAATGAGTCATCTCAACCCACTCTTGATCAAGTAAAAAATAATTAGATTGATACTGATATACATTACCAATGCTGGATGATATTCATATTCAGTTGATTTGCCACAAATATCATGCCAAATTACCAATATTTGGCGATTTTTTTTTTTTTTGCGTCCTTCTTTATTTACAGGAATAAATATATCACTGTTTGCTAGTCACTAAGATATTACATAGAATTCATATAAAAGTGATAAATTTTATCAACAAAACAGGAGGGTAAAAAAATTGAAGTGTCTCTTCAGCAGGTTTCATTTTTTGGAAGATTGCTGTTTTGGAAGAAACATTAAAATCTACTCTTCGATATGATGAGCACATATAATGGTTATCAAACACAACCATCTTATGACCAATACAGCAGTTCATCATTGCCTCGTGTTTACAATTTTTTGTTCTCTTACTAAATATGTCCAATGCAAAACTATTATGAATGAATACCATGAAAAGTAATAAAAACTTGAGAATGCCATTAATGGAATGGTCTGTTACTATGAATATAAATAACATCCCACTTATTTAAATGAAATGTGTTTGATTTCAAACAAGAGCTGAGCAAGTACTTCTCATTTCGACAAACATCACTAATGCAATCCCAAACAAAAATGTCAAATTTTGATCATGTGTTGGAGTAGTTTTATTAAATATATCTGTACTTGTTAAATACGCACATTCAAAATGGTTGGATATAGTGAAAACAAGACAATGGCACTAAAATTTTACTTTCATACTACACTAATAACTATCAACAACATCCATTCCAACCAGATGAAGTTAGCCAGAAATATCATACATTAAGAGAAAGATGTAATAGTATCACATTATTTGGCAAGTTCAACAGGCAGTGAGTAGTCCACATTACACTGAACAAGAAATTGGTTTCAATAAAATGTTTGGAGAGAACAATTTATTCCAAAAATAAAACAGATTTCAAACAAAGTAAATCATTACAGAAATACATGCACCCAGTGCATGTATTAGTAATTCACAAAATAGAAGAAAGATAATATATTTACAAAGATTGATTTTGTTATACGTAATAAAAATGTTACCTCAAATATGTTTCAAATAAAAAAAGTCATAAAATTAAATGGAATGTGTATAGTTCATGTGATCGGCCATTCTGGATTCATATTCAACATCCAGCCCCTGATATATCAGTTAAAACTACGAAAGATTTTGAGTGGCAATTAAAAAACACGAGGCAACAATAGTTCTCAGTTTACTTTGCTTGGTAGAACAAAATAGTTTTGGCATTTAAAAAGTAAAAAATTGGAACATTTAATGAGGAGAAAATTGACAGCATAGCTAAACATATTTTCATACTAATGGTAAAAAAATAAGAAACTATGTTCTTTTTTATGTATTTACTTCTTTGATGTAATTTTTGATGTAATGTTTCACTGGTAGATGGTGGCAAGTCCGAGGTCAGTATGTGTGAGTCCCCAGCAGATTGCAGTATTTCTAGTTGCCTGCAGCCAGAAGTTCCTCTCTCACAATGTGCGAGATTGAAGGACAAGCTGTCTCATTCTGCTGTCACGTCTCTGCTTCCTTTTATTTATAAGAACTTGCTTCAAATTATTAATCTAGCCGTAATTACTATTTTTTTGTTCTCTCATAAACCAAATAAACCTGTAAAGCAAACAGAAGATTAATTGTCATGAATCATGCTATTTTTTTTGTAAACATGAAAGTACCTACAAAGTACATTAAAAAAATTTACTTTCGTTCAAGCACAACTCATAATTTGTATGATGCCAAGACTGTTTTATTACATCAAAGAATGTAAATATTAACATCACATAGAATTTCAGAATTAATAGTAAAATACAGTTCTTCTAGGAAAAGATAACAATGCACATGATATGGATTATTATTAAAAATTGTGATAGGAGAAATTTCAAAGAATTGATGAGAGCCACAACAATGCAGTCAAAATTGTCGCATGTAATTCTGAATTTTGTGTTCTGAACTTTCTGCAGAATGAAACAGAGCAGGAAAAGACCACAGGCTAGAGGAAAGGTTAGTTCAATTCCTCTGAATTCATTCTTGGGCTGAAGGAAATGAGGAAATGTGTGGTTAACACTTTTGTTGCAAAAACATTCAATACCGGATAGCACATGTTTCATTAGTGGGAAATATAGAAATTCTGAAATCAATATTCTTGCTGTCACAGAATTCAATATTGCCAATCTCATCACTACTTGCTCTTTTCAGCAACCCTACTCCTTCACTTTCCAGTTGTCTGTACAAAATCCCATGACATCCACATGTTGAGAACTTCAAACCAGAATCACAGATCTCATAAATTAGCTATAGAAGCAACAATTAAATTCAAATTCTACAGAAAGTATAAATGCCATGTCTCCAGATCACTCAATACACCTTTGTGCATTTCAAAAATGACAAATATTTCATACATGACAAATGATAATGACAATTAAAATATACAAGAGCTTCAGCACTCATGAACAGAACTTACTATCTGATTACATGATATACAGTTTCGAGGTCAAAAAATAAAAGATGTAAAAAATTAATACCCGAGTTATTAATTTCTACCACAAGAGTTTCTAAAAGTATGAATACAGCAACTAAAACAATAAATCAATTATTTTTCAGACATTTAAAACAATTTTCAATGGATTTTTTTGAAATCTTGATAACAGACTGCAAGGTTCCAGCATCCCATTTATTTCAAAAGAATTAATGGAGTAGGTTAAACATTATTCAAAATATCATATTAATCTCTGAACATCGCATAAAAGCACTGTCAAAAATAAAGAACCAAAAAGCAGCAACTCAAGATAAGCTTAAAATTAATTTATTCAGATAAGCTAGTTTTTTCTTTAAATTAAATTACACTTTTTAAACATGTGGTGGTAGGAAAACAACTTTTCTACAGATACGAACGCCAACTGAAGTGCTGCTATTATTTAAGATAGGTAAAAGATATAACCCCGCAAACTATCAAAGAATAACTACCATCAACACAGAATACAAGATTTACACTAGCATCCTACGTAATGGGATGGATGCCATTAGTGAAATTCTCCTATCAGGCAACATGATAGAAAAGGCCAATCATGCTTAAATGACTTCATAGATACAGTCATGTGGTGTCAGATTTTAGAGATGCAATACTTTAAAAAATTGAGTCAATGTAAGTAAAGAGATGGCTTTCCATGGCAAATTCCATGTACATTCAAGAATTTACAATAATGCAATGTCAATTTCAAATAAAAAAATTAAGATTTCAATAAATGTACAGCAACAGTAAAAGAACTCTTTAAAAAAGGGAAAAAAGGAACTCAAATAAAATTATATAAGACGATGACAATGTGTTCTGTATTGTTACTTGGAAGTAAGTTGTAGACATTGACAAAGAAACACTATAGCTGCATACAAAATGCTGCAATGAAACTTTCAAGATCCATAATCTTGTAGACCAACTCAGAAATGAAAATATTAGATAAGACCTTTACATCTTGTCCATTTTAGAAATGAAAAATGGAAAGCGTTCAATATAGTTCAGCCTAGAGAAAGAATGAAAGAAAACCATCTAGCCCAGGGTTCATCAGAAAGACTGATCAGGAGACAAGGGTTGTCAGTAGCAGCCAGAGCAGAAGACAAGAGTAAGTATGAAGACTGTTCGCAGTCATGAGGGGAAGAAGTGAAGGATCGCACGACTCTTTTGATGCAGGACGTCATTGTGAATCTTGTGTGTAACCCTAAATAAAGTGGCGTCAACAGGAAGCAAGGAACTCTTTCATAATTGTATGGTGAAATTTTAAAGTGAATGGGAAAAAAATAATTTTATTTTCTAAAACTAGAAAGTAATGAAAAGGGTTATTGCTAAATCTTCAGCAATTACAAGCTTAATCATGCAGCAGAGTATGCACATGAGGTATGTGCTTTAAATGTTAAAACTAGCTACTCTTTTCAGATAATATTTGGATGTCTATTTCTAACCTTACAATTTAATACAAAGGAGTTTAGTGAGTTATGAAATGCTCTAATCCTATGGTGCTTAGTGTAATTCTTTTAAAAGATGAAGATGCAAGTGGATCATCAGTGAGGATTAGAGTGAGTAGAATTGCATTTTGGTACCAATTTGCCTTGCAACTTTGTACTTTTGGTCATATGTTATACAAATCAAAAATAATTTACAACCATTGAATATTTATTGTCAAAACCTTTTAGTTGTAAGTTTTATTAAAATATCTTTGCTGATAGAATATTTAACTATTGTTATTTAATGTCAGACCAGGCAAGAAAAAACATCCAAAGGCAATCTGAATAGATGTTTCAGTATCCCAGCTATTTAAGACTTCCACAGGTGCCATCTACGTATGAAACTTTGTCACAACGTGGACTTCAGAGTGGCAGCACAGTATATGTATTTATACAGTAGTACAGCTCTGTGTTAAATGCCTTACGACAATGTGTCGGTCAGCAACTCTACTGATCCACAAGGCGATCAAGGAGTACTTCGTCGCCTTACAATTCGTAATATTGCATTGTTGTACTAAATGAAACCAAAGAGTAAATGTTTTTATATATATTTTAATTTCCTTACCTGCATAACTAAAACGAGATGTAAAGTACATGTTTTGAACAATATTTAAGGAAAGAAATTATTTAAAACTAATTTCACAAACAAATCCATACACTTCAGTAAATGCTATTCATAGTTGTACTTGATCTTTAGCAGAATCGCTACAGTATGCATGCGCATCCCTAACTAGCAAAAAAACAGGCTGAGCTGCACTACTATATAAATATGCATACTATGTTGGCAGTGAATTTCTCATTCCTCTGAACACTCAAGGGAGAGAGGAAGGGAATGGATACCTAGTGATGAATTGAACAATAATCGTGTGGGACAAGACAGTTTTAAGTAGCTTATCTGGATGTTCTGGAAAAGACATTGACAATTTGAGCATAAGATCGGTTAATGTTTTCTTCTATTTTAAGACAAATTCAGAGGGCAAGTCGACTATTAATACACATATTAATAGAAATATGAATCATGCATATTTAAAGCACAAAAATGTATGCATCCCTAGCATTCATTTTTATTTTTCTAAGATGTAACCCTTAGACAAATAATTGTTCCCAAGATACTAAAAAATTTTAAATTTCTGCATTGAATAGAGCAAAACAAACTTCTGCATTGTTATGGTCAGAGGGCTACTTGTTTTTCGTTTGTTATTAAAGGACCAAGTACAGAATCTGTCAAATTATTAATAGTTAAGATAAAATCCAAAATACTTTATGAATGCAGGAACAATTCTAAAAATTAAAATATTATTATTACATTTTCACCAATGATTGCACCTTTTTCTTTCTTTTTTTCCTTCCCCTCATTGAAGGTAAACAGAAAATGTCAATAACTTTTACTTTTTTACAAAAATAAGGATTCTCAAACTTGATTTGTTCATCTTGGTGCCTGAACAAATTTTTATTGATGGAAATAAACATATTTCATTTTGATCATTTTCACATTACATAATGAAATACTTATTCATTTTATTAAACTTTGAAACCATACCTTGACAAATTTATCTACAACTTCATATTATTTTTTGTAAATGAATAAGAATTTTTGGGGCATGTCAACCTCTAGTATTCAGGACTCATCTAAATGAAAATGATAATTTTTAAATTTGCTAGCTACTATATCATCCCCTCTGCACTTGCCTAACCTTCCATACAAAATCAAATTAATTGCCAAATGTTTATTTGTCTAATGACCCCCTATTTTACCTAAATGCTAGGCATACATACCTAATGAAGCAAACATTTACTTTGGTTGCTGCGCAGTTTGATAAGAGGCATAAGTCTCATCTGGCGAGGCTGCTGTTGATGTTTGTTCAGACTCCGCAATTGGCACAGCATGAATAATTGGCGTGCCAGGTGGTGGGTAGAAACCATAAGGATGTGCACTGGCTATGTACTGGAAGGATAAACGATTAACAATAAAAAACTATACAATCATTGTACATGAATACTGTGAAATCCGCTGGAATGGACACCTTGACTTAGCAGTCACCTCCATTACTTGCCATTTTTCTTGGAACTGATTGATTTTCCCCACAGGAAGCATATAAATATTCCCTTGTTTAAGCAGTCACCTGACTCTACAATTATTAGTCAGGCACATTTTAGAGACTAACCTATATTGAACAGTCAAAATTTCCTGTCAAACTTGCGACTTTGATTTATGATAATATACAAAGCAAAAGACCTGTGTTTTCAGGATTTTCCTGCTACAGGATGCAATTTCAGATTACACAGAATAGTTACATCTAGTCTTGTGAGATAATTAACTTCACATAACAATACAGTGTTTGAAATGATGTTCATGCACGGTCTGATATTTCCTCACGGTGTGAACTGCACTTTAAGCTTAGTTGGAAATAATGTTGAATAATGGGAAGAAACAACCAGGTTTGAAAAAGAAGAGAGCAATACAGGATATTAAATGATTTTGTTAGCTGCAAAATATTTAATATACAGTAATCTTATTGAATTTCCACTTCTTATATTGGTGGATCAAATCTGCCAATCCAATAAAAATTGAACCCATTTAATACAGATTAATCTAGAAAATGTACCTCGCAGCTAACTGAGGGTGAAGTGATTGATTAAGAGGGAATATTTACATGTATCTTATGGGGAAATCACTTAGTTCTAATAAATAAGAGGTCTTAATGAGAATGATCACTTATCGAAGGTGAATATTTCAGCAGGATTCACAGCAGTTGTATTATGACCAGTTTCATTGAAATCAGTAGATAAATTTATTTTAAAAGAAAAGATATTATTTTACAGTGAATCAGATCACAAATAAAGACAGAAGCAACAACAAGAAAAACAACAAAAAACACGAGTTAGTCACTACAAATGTTTAAAAACCATGATGTTCTAAGAAAATTGGGAAAAAAATTAATGGAAGAATTTTTTTAAGAAATAAAATTAATAAGGCAATAAAATAAATTTATTTTATCAGGAAAATATTTAATTATCATTTTCTTTGCAGCATAGCTTTATCAGTAGGAAATTGTAAAATTATAAACACTTACTGAACCAGGCGTGCCCAACTGCAGCGCAGACATGTGAGTTGTTAACTGAGGAATCATCGAGCTATACTGCACTGAGCTGGGATCAGCTGATGGCATCATCTGAATGACACAAATTGTAACGTCAATCAAATTGAAATGCGAGTACAATAATATGAGGGTTAATAATATCTAATGAGGATAACAGTGAAATTACAAGAGCAGAACCATTACACAGAAGACTTAATATATTTTCAGCAAAAAGAGGTCTTTAATACTCATTGATAACTTTTGACTATAATAAGAAATTAGTATCTATTATGTTGTATATTAAATATTGTTTTTTTTTACTTCAATGCAGAAACTATGCACGATATTCATTTTTTTTTTTTTTCCTGTAAGTTTTTGGGTTTCTAGTAATTTTGAAAAACCTTATGAGAACATTTATTTCAAAAGCATTCATTTTTATTCATCCTTCTTCCTCTTCACAAGAACTTACCTCTACTTGTGTCATGTGTGGTTGCATTACATATTGTGGCAGCCATGGAGCAGTAGGCAAGGTATAACCCTGCACTGCTTGTGCACTATAGTGCCTTCCATACTGGGCCAAAGCAGGCAACATGTGTTGTGTAGCTACTCCATTCTGGGCCATAGCAGTAGCATCATAGCTAACTGGAGCACCCTACATTGGAAGAAATTACATTCTCATTTAATACATGACCTCCAAAAGACAATTCACAAAGCATAAATACTTTCCAGAGATCCTATTACTTTAAAATAAATAATTTTTTGAATGGTAATTTTAAAAATGCTTCACTGTAAATATATTTGGATAAAACAGTTGTTATTTGAACTCATCAGTCCTTATTTGAACTCGTCATTCAACTCTGTTCCTAAACAAAGAGCAAATAAAAATTGCTGAAGTTCATTGACTCCTCCTCCATTGGAATGCAACTGCTAAACAAATGAAAGCCATAATAAACTATGAACTAAATTAAAGTCCCTGCAATACTGTATACCCAAAAAAAAAAAATTCATTGTAGTCTTCCTTGAAAAATTATCTGATAAATAGTAATTTGTACAACCAAAAGATAAATCCCTCAAAATTAATACACCTCTATGACAGGTTAATAGTCTCTTTTTCTTCACGTGTCATTAGTTATGAGAAAAAAAAATTCCACTCATTCATTTATGTCCATCAAAATAAACCTACATATCATCAACTCTCAGAATCAGTTGCATTGCCAGTTGCTTTTAACAATAAAGAATAGGGAGAATTTTTGAGGGAAGAACGGATGTGTGGTGATAAAATTTCTGCTCACAACCCAAGAAGATGAAAATGTAGATGGCGCATAGGGGTGAGAGTCTCCTATATTAATTTAATTGGATCCAGGAATGGATAGTTCAAGTTGGAATGTTATTTTCTTTATAAAACAACAGACTTAAGTTATTATATCACTGAAGAAAGAAAAAAAATGTTTAAAAAATGTATGCATCATAACTTTTTCGTTTCTTTGTTTTTTTCTCTACTTCTTCTATTTAACATTATTAATAATTGGTTTTCATTTTCTTAATAATCTCTTACTTCTGATATTCTTTTAATATCTTTTAATTTTTTTTTCTCTACATTCTGATTTTATTTACTTTCTTGACGACAGAATTAAAAATAATAATTAATGAACTACAGACATTTAAAACAACAAATATCATTGTTAAAAAACACTTAACTAAGGGGCCGTCCATAAATTACGTAACAAAAATTTAGAGTACTTTCAATACCTCCTTCCCCTTTGCAATACACGCTTGAACTCCCCCTAAATAATTACTTAATGCTTGCGACAACACCCTTGTAAATTCAAAAGGTGAAAGTAAATTATACACAGTAAAAACAATTTGTTTCTATTTTATTTGTGTTGTATATTAAAGAAATTAATGATAAATAAAGTAGAAATTAGTTGACGATGCTGACTGCACCTAACAATAAGACATTAATTTGTTAATATGTTCATGTTTTAGTATAGGGCTCGAAAAATGGAATTATTTCAGCAAACGTTGAAAATTGTAAAAAAATATATATCAATGTTAGGTAACACTTAACTAATCCCCCCTACCCCTATTAAATGCAGCAAAATGTTGCCTCAGACCCCATCCCCATTCTTTAGTGTTATGTAATTTATGGACGAACCGTAACACCCCTCTACCCCTATAAAAAACAGAATAATGCTGCCTGAACTATCACCTTTTTAAGGGTTATATAATAAATGAATAACTCCAGAGATATAATATTATTTTAGGAAAGAAAGAAAGAAAAGGAAAACACCAAAAAGAAGGAAAGAAACGAAAAAAATTTTAGCAATTACAAACAGAAAAACATTGCTTTTTGTTTACCATTACATAAAATAATAATCATCGGTACTTACAGTAGAATGCTGTACATCTGTTTCACGCCATGGGCTACGCTGCTCTGGATTTTTGTATGAGCTGCGCTTTTTGTTTCCTCCATCCGCAAACTTCACTAATAATGGTTCCTTGTAGCCCGCAAGAGGATTACCATTAAACACCTGAATTATCTGTTCACATTTTTCCTTAGACTCCAACCTAAGAATTAACAATAAAGGTTTTTTTTCAATGCCTACTCCTATTATCATTGTAGGTATATAATTTCAGCACTCTTTTGTTTACTCAAAATTTCTACTCTACACTTTAGAGCTCACTAAAAATTCTAAATCATTTCATCCAGGTTACCCGAATGCGAATTCCTTAGGCTATCCTATATCTGGGAGAAGTTATGGCAGGATTTGTAAGAGTAAATATTGGTTAAGAATGACAATATTGTTAAAAAATATACTTATGAATATCATGTCTTTTCTCACCTGGCAAAACCAACACCCTTGCTCTGTCCTTCAGTATCCCTGAGGATTCTTGTTGAGATGACTGGACCATATTTGGCTAATAAACTGTCTACATCATTTTCTTTGAAATTTGGTGGCAAATTAGCAATATAAAGGTTTGTTGGATCTTGCTCTTGTTGCTGTTAACATTAAACATAAATACAAATATTAATATTCTACTATTACCAATTACTATATTACCTCTTTTTTAATTAAGGAAGTAGGAAACTACTGAGAAGAAAGATAATTTATCATTGCATATAATGCTCAAAAAAGAAGGGGAAGAAAGTGTCACTTCAGTCTAAATATTATTTTTCTTTCAAAATGCACATAAAACTACAAGCAATATCTAAGCTCAATTTTGGATTATTTATGACTTTCCAATACATGCAAAGGTGGAGATAAATAAATAAATAAATTATATATACATATATAATAAAATTGATTGTAACAATCATTGAGTCAGTTAAAATTAGAATTAATTCTATTACCACAAATAAATAAATGATTTATATGTCCAATGATTTATTCATTAAACCCAATTTAATTCAACAGCTAATTATAATGCTGTAATAAAAAGTTCTAAACCATTGAACGGACATTCATTTTTATAGGAATGTATGGTTACTACAGACATCGGAGGAAAAATTTAGTTTAACAATTTTCTGACATAACAGCAGAAATAAATATTTATTTATGATGTTATGTTTAAAAATTTTGATCTCTACTTCTTTAAAACTTTAATAGAGTATAATTACACATTAAAGAAAAGTGTCAATTTCAGTTAATGAATATTATACAATTTCATAAAAATCACAAAATAATAAAGCATATAATGCAATGTTGAAAAATCTTCCACTCAGTAAATGATTCATTGATTACTTTAAAACTTTTTGAATTTAAGACAACATATTGGCAAATTCTTTCATTTAAATTAATTGATTCACTTAGGCTTTAATACGTATGATGACAAAACAATGCGTATAATCATAATTACTTTACAACTATTATGAAAATTAAGGTGGAAATTATTGATACATATTTTTCATAATTTATAGTAGTACTAGCATACACAACCTTTCAACAAACTTATAACAAGTACAAACAAAGAATTTCACCAAAAGAATTTAGATGTACTTGTCATACTAAACATATTTTCTGTCTTCTATATGAATCAGACAGAACTAATGATGAATGTGTTCTTGAAATATATATATTACAGAGTAAAATGAGAAGCCATCAATAAGTAGAAAGATGCCAAATTATTATGCCAACTTCATGCTTTTCCACTTCTCACAAGAAAAATATTCTAATAAAAAAATAGTTTCAAGATAAAGATTTTACAGAATTAATCGTCTCATGTCATTGAATTGATGATTATGTAATAATGCACATCACAATGTTCATTTCTTTACAGGAATAAAAAGCAACTGTCAGACTCGATTCAAAGTTAAGAGACTGATTAAATATTGGTACCTATCCAGAACCAAAAATAAGACAATAAACAGAGACCCTGAAATTTACAGAAATGATCTGTTTTGTATACCTGCTCAACTTGCATGAAAATATTTAATTGAAAAAATATATTTTAAAAAGGAAGATTGCTTATAAACTGTTGAAATTATTAAAGATATCAATGCAAATGGTTTATAAAATAAATTATAGCTTAATTCGTATGTTGTTTGACACCATCTCCTAAAGGCATTCATGAACTAGAGTCCCACATACAAATTCATAAACAATATTGTTTCCAGTTAAGAATAAAAATTTGACATCCCTTTAATTTTAAGTTGGTAAATCTTCAAACATCATATTGAACCCAATACAACTTTCAACTACTCCACAATAAACTTATTCTAAGAGAGTATAAGAAAGACTCCATCATGTAAATATTAGAGTGATCCTACAGAGAAAGATTAATCAAAATACAACAGATTATAGGGAAAAATAGATGTATCATCTGCAACGAAGAATTAAAGTTCAGAGAAAATGGTTGCATAGTATGCCAGCACAGAGTTCAAAGAACATGTAGCATGCAACGTACACTGGGTGGCCTACGGAGTATCGAAATACCCACTTTTGCCATCTGAGCTTGAATTCCCTGCGCCTGTAAAGCTTTGACGGCAGATTCCGCAGCCATAGGTGACTCAAAGTCCACAAACCCATAGCCTGTAACATAAATGAACTACAGTAAGTATTTTAACCACAAAGGATTAATCGTATAAACACAGAAACTCCTAATCAAGAACCCGGCATAATTTCACTCATATTTCAGCGTGAGTGATCTGTCAAACAATTCTTAGAGTCAAACCTAATCCAGAACCATTTATCTTTTTACATCAAAGAACAATATAATATAATTTTCTATATTTCAAAATTTCAATGAGTAATGCAAATAAACAACAATTAAACAGTTATATCACTTTTAAAAAGGATAAGTAAAAACAACATGTGTTATGAAACATTGCAATTAAACAACTAGTTTTTCAGAAAAACTATCAAAATGAAATTCACAACAAAATTATGAATTACAATTATTTCTCTCTTAAGAGATTTCACAAGATAAAGAAGATAAATAAAATGAATTATTAGGATAAATAAAAGAATAAATACGAATGTATGGTTGATTTCCTTAACTTTGCATCCATTAATTACCCGTATGATTAGAATTCATTAATAAAGGAATTCAGAACAAGATTTTAAAAAAAGAAAAGAAATTATGACAATGAATACTAATCAAAATGAAAATGATCAAAATTGATCAAAAATAAATTCTTACCTTTGCATTTATTTGTGTTTTTATCTAAAATTGCCTTTGTAGATATGATAGTTCCAAATCTAGAAAATTTAAAGAAACATTAGTTTCTGTCAAAAATGTTACTTACCGACATAAATATGACATTATTATATGAATGATGTACAAATGATGTTAAAATAATTTTAGGAAACATTCAGTGAAATCTCACAAACATGTCAAATGTATCACATATTGCATGTAAATAAATTCTTATATTAATGAAAAACAGAATGAAAAAAATATGGTTGAGTTTTTATACATTTCTTTATTAAGACAAATTTTTATCACACATCCAAAGACGGAAATAATAAAGTCATGATGCAAGTAATAAAGCACAGTAAATCAATTCGAATTGACGGAAGTTGGTAAAAAAAGAAAGGAAAAATATCTGAAAATATTTAGTAAACAATAAAATACAATATTGTATACTTACTGAGAACACATTTTCACAAGATCCTTATCTGTTGTATTCTGATTTAAGCCGCGAATATAAAGATTTGTCTTTGACAATTGCTCGCCCCCTGAGCTGCCTCCTCCTCCACCTCCACCGTTGCCTCCCACATTGTTGCTTATGTTTGTTGCGTTCATTGTTCCACTCTGGGAACCAGTGTTCGAGCTTGAAGAGCTGTTCGTATTAGAAGGAGAAGTAGCAGTTGGAACTCGCTGTGAACCATATTGCTGTAACAGAAAAGCTCTCATCAGTCAATAGTTGAAATTCAAGAAACATTCATGGATCATTAACTACTTATGTAGACACCAATAAATGTTAAAGTCATACAAAATTATAGTTACATATTTTTATTTTAAAGGCTATCGTATTGCAGATGATTCTCTTAATAGCTTTGCAACATTCTTTTGAACTTCAATGAACCAATAGTCAATAACTCAAAATTATGATTTCATTAATGTCACAAGTTAAGAAAAGAACAAGTTTAACCTATACCTATTTTGTAGAGAGGACTAGTCAGACACACTTTTCCACAGCCTCTATAGGACACACCTCTACGTAAGGCAATATTACATGCCAACAGACAATTTACTTGTCAATTGATGGGTACACTATGTACTTTATTATTAGTTTTCTCTCTCTCTTTCTAGAAAGCATGTTTTAGGTCATGCAGTCGAAACATTTTTAGGCTCAAGCTCATCATCACAAGTCGGAGACCACTCCCTTGCAAAACGCGCCTGCGTCCGGGCAACCGGGCGAGCGCCCCGACCGAGCGGTGTGCGGCTGCCACGCGCCAGGCGCCGCTCACCTTCCGGCCGAACGACTACATGCAATTCACTTCTCAATCCGAACAAACTGCTTTAGAAAATAAAAAAAATAAAAAGAAATATTTTAACGAAAATCTTACTTAGGTATTTTCGGAAAATTGAAATAATTTAATACATCTCCACTAGTACCAATATTTTGAAGAAAGAACGAAAGAAAAAGTAAAAAAAAAAAAAAAAACGAGAAAAGAAATGAAAAGAAAAGGATAGAAAAATGTACAATTTAAAGCTCCAATATTGAAGAATCATTTGAAGAATTTAAGAATATAAGAAATTTTAAGAATAAAAAGTCCACTTCTTAATAATGAAGGTGGGAGATACTTTCGATAAAATGTTCAACATACTTCCAATTTTCAAAAAAATCCGGTTTTATCGAATGTTGGAAAGAAAATTATTAAAATATTGACACCATTTAAGAATACTGAAAATGAAGTTTGAGTTTCATTTAAGAAAAACTCCCGAAAATTAAAAGCTACGATGAAATTTGCAGTCTCAACTTAGTCTCAAGAAGAGTAAGTCTCAGACTTACCACCGCTTACCGATTTCAAAGAAAAAAAATGTAATCCATTCCGCATTAATTATCGAAAGTGATAATAATAGATATATATGGACAGCAAGTAACTCAATCCCGCCGTACTAACACATTTACAGCGTATAGAAATATGTAATAGTTCAGTTAAAAGGAAAACTATTTTAGAAACAAATCTTAATCAAAAGGTAAATCAATTACACACATAACTGGTTGCCAATTCATGAAATTGATTAAGGAGTCTTTCAAAAAGGAAAAACTGATAAAATGACGCGTAAAATTGAAGATGGACGACTACATCAACAAAAAGGAAATACATTTTTTTAAATCTACACAAGAAGATCAAATCTTGTGACAAAGAAATTTCCGTGTTTCTTTTTAAAGATGGCTATTTTGCATATTACAGATACGACGTCATGTATAACTATAGGAATTATTAGTTACGTTGGGCGTATATAGTATAAGAATGTCTTTTTTATAAATAAGTTTATTTTTATTTTTGATCATGAGATGAAATGAATGTGTTGTTAGTAGTGTTTTCCAGTCGACCGAAAACAAAATGTGAATATTAAATGATTTTGGGTGAAGCATTAGTTTCATACAATAATGAAATGGATGTTGTTATTGCAAAGTTAAATATTACCCGTCGTATGTTAATTTGTTCATACTTGAGATTCTGAAGAGGAAAGATCGTCAACTCACACAAATGCTCATATAAAATTTCTACTAAACGGGGAAATGATCTAGAAGCACTACAAGTAAATATTTGTAAGCTAGAAATTAAAATAATAGATTAAAAGTAATTTTAAAAAACTATTCGCAATAAGTTTGTCATCTGTATCTTTCAGAGAGAGGGACGCAGATGAAGAGATTGACGGTCGTTCTAAAAGATCAGTATCTGATGCCCTCAAAACGCATTTTCGCAGGTCTATAAATTTGCGAAAATTGCAAAAGTTTAATTTGTTTTTCGACATCCTCCACCAACTACATAATTAAATAACTAAAGGGCTTGGGCAGTTACAAGAATAGCGACAGTAGCCACAGACATACACACATGTTAACATTTAAATTTTGATGAATATATGGCTTAACTTGTTACTATGCATCTTGTTCACATTTCGGAAGGGCTTGGGACATTAACAAGAGGAATACACTTCGACCACAATAGAGAAACTAACATTTATGAAAAAAAATTGAAGAAATATTATTTTCTTAATGAAATGTTTTAGAATTAGATCTTCAAATAATGCCCCTTCCAATGTGTAGTTTTCGCGTAATTTTGTGTAAAATAGAAGCAATCAAAAAACCCAAACAAGGAATTTAAAGAGAAGAAATAGAGCTATTTTTGAAAAAAATAATGAAAACGATGCAGAAACTTCATGTGAAGTACCTCCCAAATGTACAGAATGCTGTTCAAAATCGCAGGGCTTCAGTCGGACCAGATAGATCGGAGGAAACTCATTTTGGAAAAAAATCCCCGAACAGTGTAGATGGTGGTGTTGTTCGGGAGGAACGTACGTTTCGAGAGAAAAACAACACTTTTTCGGTATCAGAATACCCCAAAACGAGCATTTCCATTAAAATGTCGTTCGGTTTTGCTATTTTATTGTTACTGAGATACGTACGTACACAAGAAAACGGCCTCTTTTCTTCTTTTTTCTCTTTTCTTCAACAGAGCAACGTTCATTTACTAAAATTCCTTAGGTCCGATTCTTATTAACCTCTGAAATATTGGTAATTGCGAAAAGTACTTTCTTTTTTATGACGCTCCGAGAGCGTTGTAAGACCGTCTGCAGCAAGGTGGATTAGTAGGTAAGTCCGTTGCTTGCGGAAACTGCGTGAGTTTGAATCCCGGTCCGGGAATATACTTACATGCAAACACTTTTGCGAGTCGAACAATTCGATTTGAACATTAATATACAAATCATAAATTAGCCCCCAAAATGGAGTAATTTTGTCTCTGGCACGGACAAATTAATATTTTTCCGGCATAGGACATCCAACTCTCAAGGGGGCGGCCTTGGCAGCCCCGCCCAATTGATTCACGCTCTCGCAATGATCGTAATTGGTAAACATTTGTTTGTTAATAAGGCGACCGTTACAAATCAGAATGAGGATTCCCTATAATATTTCAATAACCTGACAGTGACAACACTGTAATTTTAAGAAGAAAACAAGTTATATGACGTGTACATTACCAGAGACACGAGCACATAACACAATTCGTGCATTCTGCTTTGATACGTCCGTAACAAATTGGTTTAAAAAATAATTGTAACTGCAGTAATGAAGTCAACGTAAAAACATTAAAAAAATACATGTTTATGTTGCTCACACCAAAGTTCCACTTAGTTGATAATTTAATGCTCAAAACAAAATTAATAAAATTCCAAATTAAAAAAAAGCACACTTCTTTAGAACATGCTTTTTCTCTCTCAGTTATATTTTCTTAGATTTTACTTACGTACTGTAGAGAAAATATAGTAATACCACAACAAAAACGCAAAATTTTCGGCAGAAAAACTAAAACTGTGGGGTTCTTATACGTAAAAAATAGAACCTTTTTGTTCCTGTAAGTAATAAACAACTTCATCTAACACATTGTATATAGAAAGATACCACTTTTTATTCGTCCTTGATACAAAACAAAGTTTAGGTCAAAATCTGTTTGCCCGTCCATGACAACGCTAGCGGCTAAATGAGCATGATTTTCATCAAAACTGGTTTCCTCCAATGAATCTGTCTTCTATCGCGGCCCTTTGAATTTGAAACGGATATTTTGATTTTTGCGGTACTTTACATGAAAACTATTCTCAAAAATGGTTCCTTTTTTTCAGTAAGAATAAAAACGCGTATGAAAACTGCGAAGTCTCATATTCATTGAATTCTTTGAATTTTTGAAAAGTTTAAAATTATTTCATCTACCAACAACTGCAATACTGACGATAGAGTTTTTTTTTTTAATGAAATCTATGTTTCAAAATTAGATCTTTAAATCAGGTAGTGTAGAAGTTTTTGAAAATGCGTAGTTTCATGCAATTTTTGCCATCTTCGAAATTACAAATTCTATATTATCGCGCTGATTTTGCTGAAAGTAGTTTTTCACGAGATGGCTTTAACGTTAGTTGGATACAAGTTGCAATATTATAATATGAATATTACATTATCCATAACAGATAAGCTTTGTGAAGAAGTATTGTTGTCGTACCTTTTTGTTTCAAAATAGGCCTATTAATGGTTGTCTTACAATTGTGGTCCCAGCTTAGTAGCTGCAACGCTGAGACACAGCAGTTTGAAATTCTTAGAATTACTCCTCATTGTTAGAAGATGTTTCTCGGTGAATGAAACGCACTTTTAGACAGTCAAATTATTCTTGATGTATTAACATCAAAAGAATAATTTCATACCTCATGCGCTACAATTGGTAATGGGTTTTATAAGTAGGCGCGGATCCACAAGGAGGGAAATGAGGGAAATTTCGCCCCCTAAAATCTTTCAGTAACTATTAATTTTTACCTGTCATGAAAATTTCAAGCAAAAATATTTTCGAATTATCATTTAAATAAAATCGTATCGCATCATGTGAAGCGAATCCTGCGACACTTTACAAAATATGAAATGACTCAATCGACCAAAACATTTTTAATTTGCCCTTCCAATATTTGTATCTGAATCCGCCCATGTTATAACTTTCTAAGGCATGGCTGAGTTGTTTTAATATGGACAGAATTTGGGGAATTACATTTATTACGCATCCATTATTAATCCATTGAAAATAAGATGTTGTAGAGGCACTATTAAATAATTAAATTATTTTATTTATTTATTTATTTATGTATTTATTTATTTATTTATTTATTTATTAAAGTTGAAATTT